ATTAAATAAAATAATGGGTTTCAGAGTTGAGGGGGTGTGGAGTAAAATGTATATTGTCCTCTGGCGCAAAAAATATCTAGCTACGCCACTGCCATTAGCGCAGAAAAGAGGGGGGGGGCGGAATGGTGTTCTGATGACACCCTATTGAATTTAACTTAGGTCTGTTATGAAACCGCACCCCCTCCACACACGCACACACAGAAACGCCACTGGCTGCATCACTGGCTGCATCACTGGCTGCATCACTGGCTGCATCACTGGCTGCATCACTGGCTGCATCACTGGCTGCATCACTGGCTGCATCACTGGCTGCATCACTGGCTGCATCACTGGCTGCATCTGTCATATAAAAGAAAGGGAAGTTTGATTTTTAAGTTCAAGGTGCATTTTTACTTTTTTTAAATAATACGTCAACATGTGTGTTTTTGTGTTGACTGTGTGTAATTGTGTGTGTGTGCGCGCGCGTGTGTGTGAGAGAGAGAGAGAGAGAGAGAGAGAGAGAGAGAGAGAGGGGGGGAGAGAGAGAGAGTTAGAGAGAGAGAGAGAGAGAGAGAGAGAGAGAGAGAGAGTGAGAGAGAGAGAGAGAGAGGGGGGGAGAGAGAGAGAGAGAGAGAGAGAGAGAGAGAGAGAGAGAGAGAGAGAGAGAGAGAGAGAGAGAGAAGTAATTGTCAACATGTAATAGAGGTAAAAAATTATAATTTTCCAGACGTCTGTGGAAAGAAAAACTCTGATCAATCTAACTTTGAAGTGAGTCGATGACAATTGTAAACAGGATCGTTCTCAGGATAATGATTCAAAGAATATCGTAAAATTTCACTCATTTTGATTTAACGATGTTATTTTAAATTTTTTTTTTAACAAACGTTTATTGCCGTCATGACAAAACTACATTTCCGGTGAATTTTTGTCTCTCCCATTTCTGAAATGTGAAACAATTTGAAAAACCCCTCTAGGCGTAATCTGTGACATGAGAAATGTGTCACTTGTCTACGGCTGGAAAACACTTAAAATATTTGAAGTATTGCATTTTGTTTATCCGCTGCTCGGATGACGTCAGCGTGATGAGGTGTGACAAGGCTTCCACTGGGAAGCAATTTGGGGACGTGGGGTGGGACACTGGCAATTGATCATTGTAAATTTTTAAAAATTTAATTATATGCTTAGGCAATAAGTGTGAAGGACAGGGTTGTTGAGGGCGGGAACAAAAGGATAAATCTTTCAAGCTTTATTTTATCATTTAGTAGATCAGCGTGCCCTGACCTTGGGCTAGAAATGGGGACACTGTGCCCACATGTGGCCCATGTTTTCACACAGCATGTGAGAGATGATAAAAGTGTTTAACAATCACGCCCACCTCACATTGTATCATCTCCCTTTAGATTCTATTTTACCCTTCATTGTACACTGTACGGAATACAAAGAGAAGCTAAAAGTAACAACAGAAATTCCCGGGGTCAATCGGATATAGACAATTTATCTGAATATATTTTAACGTTCTGGATTTCAAAACCGATGCATTATCTGAGGGATGCATTATCTGAGCAATGGTTTTAGATGCTTCGGTTTCGTGTTTGTTGGCATGATAAATTTTTTAAAAAAAAGCATTGTTTAAAAAAAAAAAAACCGTTTTGTTGAATTAAAAATGTGTTTTATAGAATGAGTGTGTAATAATACAACGTTAGTGTCGACTTCGTTGGATGATGTTTCTGGTTTAGTGTCACGGTATTTTAAAACAACTGGTGCATAGGATACCAAATGGAGGGGTGGTAACTCTGACTGTGCAGCAGTCGTGCCCTCTTTTTGGGTAGCGAATCAATCTTTGCGCCCCCCCCCCCACATGGTACACAGCTCTTAAATGTGGCTCACGGTTATTATGTGATCAAATTTAAGGGTTGTCAAACATTTCAGCATTAACAAATTCAACGCTTAAACCAGTAGCATGCACCACAACTGCCACACAATGCAAACCGGCTTCGACCAGCCGGCAAAACCAGGTTGAGAGTAGCCGAACTACTTCAAGTCTCCGGTAAACAGGGCTTGTCCCCCGCAGCATGTGAAGACTGTATCCACTATTTGGTCAACAGGCAGAATAGCGGAGACAGCAACGCGATGGGAATCGGTCAAGAGCGTGGAAGGACACGTAGAACGCAATGGTCATTTACCACATCCAATCCCATTTCCAACCGTCTCGACCTTTTCTTGCTGCTGGACTCAGGATGGCGTGCGTTTGACGATTCGCGCAACTCTTTATCACTTAATCCTATTCAAAGCGCAAGTTATTTTAAACATCAATCCACCCTAGTTTTTTCACCATCTACAAAGACCTGTGGCGATGGGTAGGCGACGAAGCGGTACAATGACAGCCGTAGGCGCAAACCTGATCATATGCGGCTGAGGCCATAGGGTTGTTCTTCACTGTAAAGGGGCAGTGGTGGTGTTTCCTGCAGTCCCCTGAGCGACTGAGCAGTTCTTTTTATGAACAAACTGCTGACCTTCATGGTATGAGGAAGGGGCTAGAAAAGGTTATTGTCTCCATTCTTTGCTATGCAGCCTAAAGCAGTTGGAGAATGCATGCAGTCCGAATTCAGATTTACTGGAAAATCGAACAATTTTCAACATATGATTAAAACTATCCCACTTTAAATCGGTGCTTGGAGTGTGCGCACTATTCAGGATCATGACGAATTGTGTCGACTGCAGAAGGGAACAGCCCTTATAGGATATGAACTAGCCAGGTACAAGTAGATATTGCAGTCCTTAGCAAGACCCAGCGTGCAGTAAAGGGCCAAATCAGCGAGAGTGGCTCTGGATATACCTTCTTTTGGAGTGACCGAGGGAGCGAAGAACGTCATGAGGCTGGTGGTGGTTTTGTTATCAAATCTGCAGTGATTGGCACGGTGGCTGGACTTTCAAGGGAAGTCAACAATGGGATAATGACAGCGCAAATGCCTCTCTTATCTAGATGAAAACACCCAACCATCATCAGCTACAGTGCTCCAACAATGACCAACACAGATGAAGTAAAGACTAAGTTATAAGAGGATCTTCACTCTGAATGTTCCGAAGCAGGAAAAGCTCATAATTCTTGTTGACTTCAATGCTCGAGTGGGGCGTGATCACGTTGCTTGGGATGGTGTACTAAGAAAGCATGGAGTGGACCATTGCAACAGTAAAGGTCTCCGTTCGATCCAGTCTTGATCTGAGCACAAAATGCTAATTACCAATACAGTTTTTCGCCTTCTAACGCGTTGGATGCACCCTCGATCAAACCATTGACATGCATCTCATCGAATATGTTATCATCAGGAGAAAGGACAGTCGGAACCAAGTCTTTATGTTGTTCAGACTTTTGGAAAGTCTGTTGGACAGACCATCGTCTCATCAGCACCAAGCTCAACCTTCACGCAAAAGACAACCCCATGGAAGAAGATCCCCAAACGACAAAGTTGAAGAGCCAGACTATCAAAAAACTTTGTAAACAAGACAAGCCAAAAAGCTCAATTTAGCTCTGTGCCCTTGGGATGGGAATCACTGTTGTTGGTGTGAACGCGTTTTGTTCCGTGAGTTGTGTCATGAGTTGTATTAATAAGGCTAAATGGTCATTGGATGACAGAAAAGCATAATAAAAAAAGTGGGTAAATATAAGGCGTGAGATCGAGAGTTCATGCACCAGAGTTCATGAGAGAGTTATTGAATGAAAGATCGTGGCATTTTGGGCGGTCTGTTGTTTGCTGAAATATTGCAACGAGGTGGATCTGTGTGACAGACACGAAGAATAAAGGTGAACCAAATTATTTCATGAATAGTGGTGTTGCTAGTATTCGGTGTGCCTGGTGCTTAGCGCAGAGGGTAATAGTGTTACAGTGCAACATAGACAACGTCGCCAGAAATATTCGAATGTTCTCGACTAGAGAAATCAGAGTATTTTATCACTCTGTACCAGATGTTGACCTATCCAATACCCTGCACCTTCTACGCCAGAATATTTCGTGGCAGAATTGGCCTGGTCAGCCATCTGCGCACCCACAGACAGATTCAGCCCCAGCAACAAACCGGTGTTTAAAAATGGTCATCATCGATTTTTCATTGGACGAACTACGAATATTCAATTACGTATGCGTAGACAAGAAAAAACATGAATCCAGCGGCGTACACAGCTGGAAAGTGGGATGGGGCTCCATTGGTTGTCTTCAAAAACCGTTTAGAGCAAGTTTTTGTTTTTGTCTTTGCGAAAAGATGTGTCTAAAATAGATGGCAGGCTCTTGCAATAAAATCCCCGGTCACTTTGAAGGTGCAGGCGTGTATTCTACTAAAAATATGAACTGATCAAGTTTTCAGATCGCGTTATTTTAGTCTGATCACGGCAAGTAAAGTTATTTCTAAAGTTTACCTGCATCTTGCGACAGTGGTCGACAGTTTACCGGTTTTCGTGCGCAAATATTCCATGACATACGAATAGTGTATGCCGTACATTATTATTATTATTATTTTTTTATTTTTTTTGCAAAAAGACATGTTTTTAATTCGAATGACCGCTGTTCCAGATAATCAGTGTTTGGATAACAAATGGTCTGCTTTATATTGAATTGAAATTGTCGCCCTTCTCTGGTTTACGCACCAGTTTTTCCCTTTTTGAAAGACATTTCGATTCTTATTTCCAACTTAAGATATTGGTTTGAAGTTTGCATGTATGGTCTAGATCTAAACTAGAGCATTAGATGGCAGCACTGAGATCCTTAACTTGATGCTTTTCGCTTCGAACATTAACTGGCTAAAATCTTCCAGATTATTCCTTCATAAATTATTTTCTTTCAGGGATTAGGATCGAAGCATATCAGTAACTTATGCTCAATGTTCAACCTTGATTTGATAACAGACAGCTAACATAACAGACTGAATTAACGCAGTAAATTATTCATTTATTTGAATGTATTTAATGTATTTATTCATGTTTAATTTCATCGCAAGTTGGGACATTCAAGATGGAATTTTTTTAAAATCGCTCGACAACCATCTATATTTTAATGAAAAGTTAAAAAAAAAAACATAATTCATTTACATAAGATCGTGTTTTTAATGTGCAGACTTGTGCTTTAAATTTAAAAATAGTGTGGAACAATGGCTAGATGCATTGTTAACTTGTAGGTCTGTGTGTGGAAAAATGGCTAGATGCATTGTTAACTTGTAGGTCTGATTGTGGAACAATGGCTAGATGCATTGTTAGCTTGTGTGTCTGTGTGTGAAACAATGGCTACATGCATTGTTAGCTCGTGTGAGTGGAACAATGGCTAGATGCAGTGTTAGCTCATCTGTCTGTGTGTGGAACAATGGCTAGATGCATTGTTAGCTTGTGTGTCTGTGTGTGGAACAATGGTAAGAAGCATTGCTACCTCGTGTTTTTGGAACAATGGCTAGATGCATTGTTAGCTCATGTGGCTGTGTGTGGAACAATGGCTAGATGCATTGTTAGCTCGTGTGTTTGTAGAACAATGGCTAGATGCATCGTTAGCTCGTGTGAGTGGAACAATGGCTAGATGCAGTGTTAGCTCATCTGTCTGTGTGTGGAACAATGGCTAGATGCATTGTTAGCTTGTGTGTCTGTGTGTGGAACAATGGTAAGAAGCATTGCTACCTCGTGTTTTTGGAACAATGGCCAGATGCATTGTTACCTCGTGTGTGTGGAACAATGGCTAGATGCATTGTTAGCTCGTGTGTCTATGTGTGGAACAATGGCTAGATGCATTTTAGCTTGTGTGTCTGTGTGTGGAACAATGGCTAGATGCATTGTTACCTCGTGTGTGTGGAACAATGGCTAGATGCATTGTTAGCTCGTGTGTCTGTGTGAGGAACAATGGCTAGATGCATTTTAGCTTGTGTGTCTGTGTGTGGAACAATGGCTAGATGCATTGTTACCTCGTGTGTGTGGAACAATGGCTAGATGCAGTGTTAGCCTATATGTCATAGCAATTAATAATGTGTGTATTTAGGAGTAAAGATCGACTAACGCTTATTAAAAAATTACAAAATTACCCTCTCTTTTTTTCTCTTCACTGAAAGCAGTGTGTGAATATGAGAATCTAAACACCATGACAGCAATGTGTCAATATCACAGTCTATACAGTAAGACATCAATGTATCAATATGACAATCTATACAGTATGATAGCCATGTGTCAATATGACAATCTATACTGTATGACAGCCATGTGTCAATATGACAATCTATACTGTATGACAGCAATGAGTTAATAATACGACATTGTATGCATTATGGCTGTCATAACTGCAATAAATGTGCGCATTTCTTACGTCCTTTCCCATATATAGAATGTCTCATTCAGAGAAACATCTTTACCGAACAGCTGCTTACATGAGATTGTGATAAACCCTGTTTAATATAAAGAAATGGATACTTTCAAAACGTAGACCGACTGATGACACACCAACAAAGATGGCAATAATATCAGCTGTTAGTGGATGCAACCAGAAAAACAAAAAGCCATGAGCGCATTTCCATGTAGCAATGAACTGCTATGAACTGCTATGTGCCAGTATCACACGCGTCCAATCTAAAATACTTTATGGTGATACACAGTTCAACACAACTTTGCATGTCTTACAGAAACAGGGAGCTTTAATGAGGTTGGCCCACCCCATGCGGCTGACACTGTTGTACTATAAGAATTGGCGTGTTTACTAACAGGTCTTTGCACCAACTAAGCTGCCTGATTTATTCGTAGCTCGTTATGCCAAAATGCAAAGAAGGGGCAAGCTCAGGAAGAAAGTAGCGCGTGAATTGAGAAACAAAGACTTCTATCTGTGATCCCTGCAGCCTGTTTGTTGCTGATATTGCATGATTTGATTTATGTAGAAAGACAAAATATGAAAACGGTCATAAATTTTGGAGGCTGCTTGGTGGCAACTAGTTTACGTCTCTTTCATCTTCTACATTTAAAAGTACGATGCCACAGACCTTCACATTAAGGAGCATGTGAGGATGTCTTTACATGTTTTGTAGTGCGTCTATCTAACATAACAGTTAAGATACGATGGTAAATTTCAATTCTTTGATTCTCCAACTATATAAACTGTTGTAGTTTTCAGCTGGTTTTAGTGTGGACAAATCATGCTAACTGCATTCATGAATTCTTCTTAAACCAGGTATGAGTGGCCTACCCAGCTCAGATAACTCAAAAAAATGGACGTTGCATTTGATCTTGAAGAGCTCAGACTCCCAGGCAAGAGCTCTATGCTGCTTCAATCGATGGGGATGGTATCTCATCCAAGTCATAGCCAGCTTCAGATTGCTCATAGCTCTTAGTACCATCCTGCACATCCGTGAATGACGTTTCTTTGGAGTGCTGAATAGCCGTCTCTGTTGTCTCGGCTTCCTGTGTGGCACTTCGTGGCTTGACTAAGAACAGGTAGCCCTGGCTGACTTGTGAGTGTATCGTGCTAACACTGAGTGGTGGCAGCAGGGCTTTTTGCTTCCTGGTCGCGTTTAAGTCTCTGATCTTTGCCACGACAAATTCCAGAGGCTTAGATTTGACGGCCACGCTGTTGACCCAACTGTTTCTGTAAGCCTTCTCCGCCGTCAATCTGTCTTTCGGATCCACTTGAAGCAACTTGCGAACTAAATCCTGAAAAATAATTAAATTCTCTTCTATTTTTTTCCCAGATGTGTTTAAAGTATTCTTGAAAAAAAATGTGAAAAAACTCTTCTTGTATCTCTGTTATATTTTATGAACACGTTGACAGAAAAACTGATTTTCTTTAAAAAAAAACTGTTGTTGGTTAAATTTACAACTGTTTTTTATTGACAAAATTTATTTCTGACTGCCATTACATGTTGTTCTCTAACTGTTCCAAAGTGGTCGCAAGGAAGTATTTTTTTTTAAAACTAGGTCACAGAGAATGATTTTTTTTAACTAGGTCACAAAGAAGGATTTTTTGTTGTTCTTTTTAAATTGGTGGCTCAAGCTAACAGATGCTCCTGCTTGGCAAACTAAACCATTTAACAACATAAAAATTAGAGATGAATAATGTTTCGAATTACATATTCCAATTATATATTCCCTTAATTCTAAGGGTAATATAAGCAATGCCTCTAAATTATTAAAAGCAACAGTTATTTTAAATGGAACATGTGAATGAAAAATATTATTTTGTAAACTAGTGAAATATTTCTGGTAAAAAATCATAAGTCATCAGCAGTGTTTCATGTCCTATACAAGTTCAATAATTGGGTGTTAATGTTATGAAACAATGATAGGCTGGGCTGATAAGGAGCAACACTTACGTTCCCAATAACAAGGAGCAACCCTTACCTTCCCATGATAAAGAGCAACACTTACTTTCCCAATAACAAGGAGCAACACTTACCTTCCCAATGATGAAGAGCAACACTTACCTTCCCAATGATGAAGAGCAACACTTACCTTCCCAATGATAAAGAGCAACACTTACCTTCCCAATAATAAAGCGCAACACTTACCTTCTTAATGACAAAGCGCAACACTTACCTTCCCAATGAAAAAGAGCAACGCTTACCTTCCCAATAATAAAGAGCAACACTTACCTTCTCAATGATAAAGAGCAACACTTACCTTCCCAATGATGAAGAGCAACACTTACCTTCCCAATGATGAAGAGCAACACTTACCTTCCCAATGATAAAGAGCAACACTTACGTTCCCAATGATGAAGAGCAACACTTACCTTCCCAATGATAAAGAGCAACACTTACCTTCCCAATGATGAAGAGCAACACTTACCTTCCCTATGACACTGACTTCGTCCACCTCATGGGTATCATGGGCAGGAAACTCAAACTGTCCTTTGATGATTTTCTTGAAGAGGGCTACAGGATCTTCATGTGAGAACGGCTCATATCCAAACAACCTGTGTTCGAGATTATACTTTATCATATCCAAACAATCTGTGTTTGAGATTATACTTTATTTTGATGAACTTCGCCATAAATAACAGGACAATCAACTACCAGCAACCCATTGATATTTATGTCATGTGTTTGATAAGTTTTCTAAAGATAAAACATAAAACACATGATAAGTAGCAGATTATTTTTCACCCTGATATTTTCATAAGCTTCTATTATTCAAATTAGATTCTTTATATTTTTTTAAAGATCTGTTATGGATTAAAAACTACTTACAGAATGAAAATTATAACTCCCAAGGACCACATATCTGATGCTCGGTCAGCTCGAAAGCCTTTCATGATCTCAGGTGCTGCACACACAAAAACAACAGAAGTGTTGTAATTCAAAGGTTGCATTGATTATCGAGAGGGCCGATTACAGATTAATTACTGTTTTTAGTACTTTGAAACATGGGCGCCCGCAGAAAACTTTCTAGGGGGGGGGCGCAAAAAATCGATTAACTTTACAAGGGGGGGGTAATGTTAGTTTTCATGTTCTTTGTTGATGTTTTAATGTTTGTTTTCATGTTCTTTGTTAAGAAAATTTAGTATTGTTTTTATGTTGTTTTAATTTACTGTAGCGTATTTGTATAATGAACGAACTGACAGGACATCAGCTAAGTTACATTTCTCTTTATTTTCTCTTTACTTTAACAAAAATTTTTGCTATTTTTGTCTAAAAAAATTTTATCCAATCAATCCAGGGGGGGGGGCAAATGCCCCCCTTTGCCCCCCTGCGGGCGCCCTTGCTTTGAAACTAAATAACCCCCTCCCAAAAATATTCAAATTGCCTCCAACTACCCCACCCCAAACCGGTGGGGCAAACTCTTCACGTTGGGAATCACTGGCTCATACTAGAGAATGACGTCATTCAATTGTTCATACAATGGCCATAAGGCGAAGTAGGTCTCATGGCAAACCGGTCTCATTGACAATCTGTTCGAATTTTTTTTTCTTGAACGTTAAAAAAAAAAATCAAAATAATGCGTCTTAAAGATGAATAAGTGAACCTTTGAGTTGATCCATGTCCTTAGACAAGCGACAAAAGGATGTCTCTATGTCCTTAGATTAAAAACGTCGAAAGGGTTTATTTATGTCATTAGACCAAAGGGCGAACGGGTTTATTTGTGTCATTAGACCAAAGGGCGAAAGGGTTTATTTATGTCATTAGACCAAAGGGCGAACGGGTTTATTTGTGTCATTAGACCAAAGGGCGAAAGGGTTAATTTATGTCATTAGACCAAAGGGCGAACGGGTTTATTTGTGTCATTAGACCAAAGGGCGAAAGGGTTTATTTATGTCATTAGACCAAAGGGCGAACGGTTTTATTGATGTCTTTAGTCAAACGGCGAACGAACGTATAGCTGATCTTCAGTTTCAAAGTTGTCCGTCGTAGACTTCGTAGGAGCGAATGTAGATTGCTGCATACAACGTGCGTGACTCTTATTTGTCTGAACAGTTTCTGGCCGACCAGTTTCACCCTTCCGTTGAGACACTACACTTCCGTGACGACGAAATGTGTTAACAATGGACAGCATAACGGTATCACTTGGTGCCGTCTTATAAATCTCTCTCGGCATTGTCCTGCCCCCTTTTTCGAACCTTTGCCCCTTTCAAGACCGATTCAGTGTGAGCGAAAATAGGGCTCAACTATGAAATTATGTTTCCAACAACTAACTGCCCCTACACAACTTGCTGGATACCTCAGGGAGCACGGGGCGACTGGAGCTGCGCACCATTGACAAACACACGTACGCCTTCAAATACGGGTTCAAAATGCGACAGTTCCAGTGCTCTTACTTTTGACGCACACTGTTTTCAGTAGGGTAAGCTGTTTTTAGGAATATACTAAAGTATTTGCAATAAGCCGATAAATCGGTGCAAAGGCCGACAACCGATTAATTGACAAAAATGGCCCGATTGAGCGGAGTACCGCTTATCTGCCACTCAATCAGTCCAACCAATCTGGGTACAGTTAAATTTAAGCAACCACAATTATGGTCAATGATTATTATGATCGGAAGACAAAATGAGAAAGCTGTTAATCTATTGGAAGAGTGTAAATAATTTCAAAGGTTTGAAAGAAGAAACGTATAAACAATTTCAAATTTTTATTTAAAATGCAAACCTGTGTAGCCCGGAAATCTGCAAGTTGCTGCTATTTCTAGCTCTGGACTGACAATCGAAGACATGGCGAAGTCAGCTGTGGGTAGGTCATCACGAAGTGAGGAGCATGAGATGAGAGTTGAATTGTGTCGGTTGATGCATGTAAACAAAATACTCGCAAAGGAATTTCCATCCAAAACATTCTTCCAATTAAAATTATTTAAAATGTGTTTGGCACACTAACAAAGCACGTCTTTAATTTAAAGTGACAAAATAGCTAAAAAATTAACAGTGTTGGTGAATTTTTTTATAAACTATTTCATATGTATTAATTTTTTCTTAAGCTTTAGTTACAACATATTCTAAAGAGTATTTCAAAATCATGACAGCACTGATTCACAAATGTCTCCCATGCATGTAGAACTAAGGACTTTCTAACTCACCGTTTTAATTTTGAATCAATGATAAAGATTATATGCCCATGACATTATCTTGGATTTCGCTGAAGCACAGATTAAGGACAATGCTGGTTTATGACTGTTCTGATTGTTAAACTGATCAAGATATGAGATCTAAAACCCACTGTAATGTAATGTCATAATTTTGCCATGTCAACACTTTCCTATCAAAGTACCGTATTTATCGGCGTATAACACGCACTTTTTCCCCCTGAAAATAAGAGGGCAAATGATGTGTGCGTGTTATATGCAGATATAATGTTAAGGACCCATAGTACGTACCGCATAGCGGCGCGAATGGTGCGTGTTATACGCCTGTGCGTGTTATACGCCTGTGCGTGTTATACGCCTGTGCGTGTTATACGCCTGTGCGTGTTATACGCTGATAAATACGGTATGTTAAAAAAATAATTAACATCAGAACGAGCACACTTAATAGTCAAATGTTGTCTACAAGATTTTAAATGTCAGCTATCATTTCATGAGATTCTGCCAAATATAACATAAATTGTTGAGGGAAGGTACATCTTACCAATTTTGACATGAGCATCATCTGAATGATCTTCATACACCAAATTTTCAGGCTAAAACCAAAATATTAATTGATTAAAATGTTGTTTTTTTCCGTGAATTACTTTTGTGGTTTGGTTTGTGTGTGTGTGTGTGTGTGCGTGCGTGTGCGTTTTCACTACAATGTAAAACCTCTTCAAACATCATTGCTTTGTTACCTTTTAAGTATTAATAATTTCCAAGATTGTTTATTTAATAATCATAACGTGCCAATGTTCAAGACAGTGAGCATACTTTATGAGTGTAGCTCATTAGTCCTGAATGGGTTAAGATTTTTTTATGTTTATATATAGAGAGATTATACCTTTAGATTTTTTACGGCGTATCCAAAGAAGTGAAGATACTGAAAGAAAAGAAAGCAAATTCAAATTATATGAAGAAACAAATCTACTGTTTTTAAAACAATAAAATTGTCCCTCTAATGATCGCCATTGTGTCTTTGTTATTGTAGGCGTCTGACGGTCTGATACTGACTCAGTCAAAAAGGATCAGTTGATTATGGGTAGCTGTCGGATTAATGGAAAGGTTTTGAAGAGTTTTTTTTTTCCCACGTGGATATAACAGTTATTATGTGGTCACATTTAAGGGCTGTTCAACATTTTAACATAAAAAAAAATTCAACGCATAAACCAGTCTGCCAGTTTCTAGTGGAATCCATGGAAATCTGTATATGAACTATCACGGGTATGTTGAAGAGCTACCAGGACAGTCCATTAACAAGTAGGCTGTACATGAGCTCTCGATGATTTAAATTTTTAAGTGACAAGTAGCCTTCGTACACCGCTTAGATTGTGTACAGATGATGTATTGAATTGGTTGGGGATCACGCCATCTATAATTTTTATGTACAAACAAGTTTCACATAACCCACTTCGCTTTTTTTACTGCATAGCTTTGCGGACACTTACTTTCCCCCCAAACATAAACTGTACGTAGACTCACATGTAAATGCGTTATAAAAATACTTCTCCCTTCCCCCGACGCTTTACCCCATTAAGCGATTTAGGCTTTTGGTTAAAGGAACCTGATAACGTCTTATTAATTTAAATAATCAACAACAAAAAATTACAGCAGCTCAGAAAAGTTATATTGCAGCCAGGAAAGCAGCTACTGACTAACATTCATATTCTGAAGGGAGCTTTAGCTTGCACTCTTAAATACCCCACCTAGTACTGTGACACCATGCTCCATTTGTTGGGCTGTGCCACATAACATCTTCTGAAACAAAGTCTCTACCGCCAACCTGCCCCCCCCCCCCCTAAACGTCGAGCTTGGGGCGCGAAGTCAGCAGGTGCGCTACTATCTCTCTGGAGCTTTAGCTTGCACTCTTAAATACCCCCCCTAGTACTGTGACACCATGCCCCATTTGTTGGGCTGTGCCACATAACATCTTCTGAAACAAAGTCTCTACCGCCCACCTGCCCCCCCCCCCCCTAAACGTCGAGCTTGGGGCGCGAAGTCAGCAGGTGCGCTACTATCTCTCAGGACAGCCTACAGTGCTGTCAAGTAAGGGCCCTATTTTTGTATAGATGTTAAAGTAAGAGTGAAAATGGCAATGTTCCATCCGCATCTGGGTCACCAGACTCAGCGACACAGTTTCCACCAGGGGTCCGTTCTGCTTGGTTGTGGCATGTTAGAGTATACACCTCTGACCTTCGTGCTGTCTGTCCACTATCCATACCACTTTGTTCTAAAGTTTCCGCCTGCCAAGATGAGTGATTTGGATTTCTAGTTGGGACTGGGACTGCCAGTGTGTCCGCTCTTTCATTTACCTTCGTGTTTACTAGGCTAGGAACCCATTGCACCGTAACCTTACCTCCAAGATCTCAAGAGCAGATCTTGAATCGGAGAAAATTACTACAAGCCCCCACTCCTGCAACGTACTGTCCACACTTTCCAGTGCCCTGTGTAAAGCGTCAAGCTCCGCGTCGAAATTCGACGATGTGGTCCAACGGGGCCCTGCAATATCTTCCTTTGGTGGCCCTCCTATTGGGTATAGGATGAGAGCGCCGTACTCACGAACCACCATTTTGGGACGCGTAGGTGCCGCATGTGGGGTGTTAACTGGTATGGAGATCATTGCTTCTCAGATCGTGGGGATTTTGACTGTCCTGTCAAGTTCTACAACGTGATACATAAATGATGACCTTTTGAATTTACTCCAAGCCATCCAATCATTCCGCATTTGGAAGCAGTGTTCCTCTATTGTTAGTATTGATTTCAACCTTTGTATAACTAGAAACTCAACGTTTGCTAAGATTTCCGCAGCAGCTGGGGGTGTGGTTTTAAAAAGCGCCACAAATGAATGTCAGGGCCTGATTCTGTATTTCCCGCCAATTGTTTCCAGTGCAGTTTTGCAAAGCATTGGACGGTTATGCAATAACTAAGGAAAAGAGCGCGAGTGGTCCTGAACCAACACCCCAATTCATGCACGCGAGCTATTTAGCCGTGGCTGTTATACATCTATTTCTCACCCTTTACAGTTCGTTCCGAGTGAAAGTTGCGTTGAAAATTATCGCATGTGGTCCCAACTGCTGTTGTTTTCAATGTCTCCTGAGACAGTTGTCGGGACTTGTTCAATTTCTCTATGTTTTAGACTTACTTATCTGCGTTGACCGAGCTTGTCTTCGAATGTGTCGGTCTTGAGTTCTTCATTTTCCCTTTTCAGGGGCAGAGTCAATTAGAATGCAAACTACGAAATTTATAAATAATTACAGTAAAATATGATTTTTTTTATATGTACACCAGCCCTGGCCAATTCTTTTACACACCTACAGAAAAAATTTTCTTATCTTCCAACATAGCCGTACCTCCTCAGTATCTACGCAATATTTTTCACAAGGATTGTTCCATGATAACCAATGTAATCAACCAGCTAAATCGATTTTGTTTTCAGATCGTTTATAAGATTAAATAAAACTACTCACCTTCAGTCCGTTAACTACATCTCTTATCGCCCTTGAAGCAACTTGCTCAGAGTAATTACTTCCAGGCTGCACTATCCTGAATAAAATAGAAATGTTAATTGGTGTATTTCTCAGTCTTCATTCCAATTATTATTGTAAATGGCATAATGAAGATACAGTGTGAATGTGAACTTTAAGCTTTCTTGGTTCTGAATATGGCACTATGGATATGTGGGAGACATCGCTGCAAGTATGTCATTTTTCCCTTATTGTCTAAATTACTTGTGTCATATTCAGGTTTGGATTTAGTATTTGTCAAGGGGTCAGGAGGCGATACTATATTAACACTATTTTACTGTACGAATTATGACATATGTCATGTAAAAATGTTCATGTGAATGAGTTCATGGCGCCCCTCTACCCCCTTGATATGCCGGGTGGTCTATTTCTTATGTGCATTGTTTGAGCTTATCGTGAAAAAGGGAGGGGGGGGCCTCTAAGTCCACCACTGGCGGTAAAAACTATAGCTACGCGACTGAAACATAAGATACTATAATGATATTACTTGAATCACTGGTAGGATTATAATAACGCACACACCAGGGCTGTGTACGACTAACCGCATCTCATTACGTTTAACTTAAGTCCTATAGGCACTTTAGCTGGATACTGGTTTGATTCTATTTAAGACTTAGCGCTTTATGGCATGTGTAACTAGAAAGGTGTAAATTATAGATTGTCATTGTGAACGCACGCACACATTGGTCTATAAAAGATGTGGCACATGTTTAACTCTAGTGATATCATTGTTAAGGGGTACACTCAATAAGCTCGACAAGTAATTAAATTTAATCAGTAATGTATTGGAATCGCCCATTACAATCACAAAATAAAATGTACTCGATAAATGAACAAGGATATATGAATGCACGGGCTTTTTTTTAGAATGGCCAGATACGACCTCCCTGTTATAGGACTTGAGTGGACATATAGAATGGCAACTAAGTCAGATACAGAACCAAGAGGATATAGTTATCCAGTGCATATGTGACCAGCCTCAACGAGATCACACACACACACCTCTTTGAGTACTCCGCCTTCTAACAAGGCGGGTCACGTGTTGGTCAAGGGATGGTCAATCGCCTTGTATGAGTGAAACTAGCATGAAGAGTTCCCAGAAAACACCCTTGTGCTTTTTTTTTTAAATTTCAGTGGGTGTGTACGTTTTACCCTGAGTTTTACCCAATCTGTTACATGAACACTCAGAACAAACGATTGTGTGTTACCTTTTTAATATTAAGGGGCGCATTTCCACATATAAAAATCCTGGATTTCACATTCTTCTTGTTGTAACATACATAATCCACTGTGCCGTAATTGACATACACACTATTGTAAACCTTTTTAATCTGGTAATTGTAAAGCTTTTAGCAATAATCTCCATTAAAGCGCAAGAATCAATAACGGTAAACTCCACTTGCCCTTTCTATTGACATATGCCATTTCCTAATATTTATAACAACCTTTCGAACAACTCTCCACCACTGACAAGCTCCTGTACTATGTATATGCGATTCCTGGTCTCAAATATTTCTTGCAGCCTCACCTGTTGATACAATAATAGTGGAGCATGTGTTTATAAGAAGAGCTCCTTGATCTTTATGCAATTCAAAACGTTCCAGCGCTGCTTCTAAATTCTTCGTTATATTTGTTTGGGAATGTCAGATTAAGCCAAATCTTAACTCATCCAGGGTGGGAGCTAGCTAGATGACTTTCGACAGCCACATTAAAATAATAATAATTGTAACAATGAGTTTAATACAAGAGATTTCGTGCTAAAGCGTGGCTAGTGCTGGTAACATTTCTTACTGATCCGAGCTCTACAATTTATTCAAAAAATAATTTACATTTTTTTATAATATATAATTTGAATTTTTTATTTTAAAAAATATGTATTGTTTTAAATTGATTTCCTATAATTCTATCAGCTATGTTCCCCACTCTATTACAACTATGTTTCCCAACTCTTTTACAACTATTTTCCCCACTCTTATACAACTATGGTTTCACACTCTTTTACAGCTATGTTGCATTACTCTTCTACCAGCTATGCAGCCCTATTCTTCTACCAGCTATGCAGCCCTATTCTTCTACCAGCTATGCAGCCCTATTCTTCTACCAGCTATGCAGCCCTATTCTTCTACCAGCTATGCAGCCCTATTCTTCTACCAGCTATGCAGCCCTATTCTTCTACCAGCTATGCAGCCCTATTCTTCTACCAGCTATGCAGCCCTATTCTTCTACCAGCTATGCAGCCCTATTCTTCTACCAGCTATGCAGCCCTATTCTTCTACCAGCTATGCAGCCCTATTCTTCTACCAGCTATGCAGCCCTATTCTTCTACCAGCTATGCAGCCCTATTCTTCTACCAGCTATGCAGCCCTATTCTTCTACCAGCTATGCAGCCCTACTCTTCTACCAGCTATGCAGCCCTACTCTTCTACCAGCTATGCAGCCCTACTCTTCTACCAGCTATGCAGCCCTACTCTTCTACCAGCTATGCAGCCCTACTCTTCTACCAGCTATTGCACCACTCTTTTACCAGCTTTGTTATACACATTCTTCTACAACCCATATTGCCCCAATTTTCTACCACTTCTCTCACCCAACTACTTTATAGAACTACGTTCCTCCCCTATTTTACGACCATGTTGCTGGTACCCGGTACATGCATTTCTTTGTCTAGTTAATAAGATGGGACGGTGACAATAATATAGGCCTACACTTAGCACCCCCTCAACCACCCCCCTCAACCACCCCTCCTCCCTTTGTAATTTTGCCGGAGCTCGGAGCGAAGCTGATGCCTAAAAGTCCTGCTCCAAATCCGTGGTTAATACATACTCCAAAAAAAAAAAAAAGTGTACTTTCATGAAGACGTTATATTGCAACATTTAGAGTCTAACTCTAAACTGAATTCCCAAGACGTAATATTTTGTCGTATATTATACCTTTGAGTAAATCTTTGGTAAAAAAACATTTTATGCGTATCAAACAAGCCTGAACTATGAACCTATAGACCGCAACAATGTGTGTACCATTACACTAGTTATACCCATAAGTGTTTCTCATTTCCCGGGATTAGGTTATAAAGTTTTGTTCATCGAGGGATTTCCCATAATGTATTATAAACTTAATTAAATTATAAAAGAACTGATTTATATTAAGTCTTTACTTTACGGATATTTCTTTATTAATTACTTTTTTTTAAGTGTTTATGTTGTTTGAGAGGTTGGTTACTTGCTACTAGTTGCTTCATTGTCCATTGCTTATTCCTGTTAATGGTAACTAGTTAAAAATGTAATCTATCCTCCACAACCGTGAGGGGTGGAAGCAACCCCCACCCGGGACCTTGGCAACTTCTGTGGGTTTGGCACTGGTATTTAATCGGCATAAAGTGAGGATTGGTGTCAGTGTGGCATAAAGTGAGGATTGGTGTAAGTGTGGCATAAAGCGAGGATTGGTGTCAGTGTGACACAAAGTGAGGATTCGTGTCAGTGTGGTATAAAGTGAGGATTGGTGTCAGTGTGGCATAAAGCGAGGATTGGTGTCAGTGTGACACAAAGTGAGTATTGGTGTCAGTGTGGCATAAAGTGAGGATTGGTGTCAGTGTGGCATAAAGTGAGGATTGGTGTCAGTGGGGCATAAAGTGAGGATTGGTGTCAATGTGGCATAAAGTGAGGATTGGTGTCAGTGTGGAATAAAGTGAGGATTGGTGTCAGTGTGGCATAAAGTGAGGATTGGTGTCAGTGTGGTATAAAGTGAGGATTGGTGTCAGTGTGGCATAAAGTGAGGATTGGTGTCAGTGTGACATAAAGTGAGGATTGGTGTCAATGTGGCATAAAGTGAGGATTGGTGTCAGTGTGGCATAAAGTGAGGATTGGTGTCAGTGTGGTATAAAGTGAGGATTGGTGTCAGTGTGGCATAAAGTGAGGATTGGTGTCAGTGTGGCATAAAGTGAGGATTGGTGTCAATGTGGCATAAAGTGAGGATTGGTGTCAGTGTGGCATAAAGTGAGGATTGGTGTCAGTGTGACATAAAGTGAGCATTGGTGTCAGTGTGGTATAAAGTGAGGATCGGTGTCAATGTGGCATAAAGTGAGGATTGGTGTCAGTACCGAATTCACTTATCTTAGGGCCTCACAATCTGCCGACTGTATATTTTTAATTTTTCTTTGATCAGATGACGAAATTTAAAAGGTTAAGGGGCCTCATGGGCGCCCGCAGGTAGCGACAAGGGGGGGGGCACTTGCCCCCCCCCCCTGGATTGATTGGATAAAATTTTTTTAGACAAAATAGACAAAAAATTTATTTAATTAAAGAGAAAATAAAGAGAAAGTAACTAAGCTGATGTCCTGTCCTTTCGTTCACCATACAAATACGCTGCAGTAAATTAAAACTATATTAAAACATTACTTAAGTTAATCGATTTTTTTGCCCCCCCCCCCTAGAAATTTTTCTGCGGGCGCCCATGAGGGGCCTATGGACATTTTCTTTATACCTCTGGGCCTCAACAAGTCTAAGTCCGGGCCTGATTGGTGTTCTATTCCAGCAAAACCCCAGACAAAAAAATAAAAGCGTCATTTGTTTTTCCTAACATAACAAACAAGAAACACACGCACAAGGAAAAAATATAGTGATTCCTTTTAAATTTGTATTGTTTCCTTTCCCACCAAAGGGATCGGGTACATTCATACCCCACTAACCAGCTGCTTCCCTTTCTCCTTGGTTAATGCATGTATCTATATAATATGCAATGCATATTATGTCTTACTATGTTAATTTTGGAAGAAAAAAAACTACATAATCTATTGATAGTTTGAGACATGAATATCTTGCGGTAATCAAGTTACTATAGGGTACAGATCTCCAATGGGATTGCGAAGGAATTTTTCTGGGGTCGCCGGCTGAAACAACAGACTAAGAGAAGTAGTGATTTCTAAAATAGCTTTCTTTTTAATTGGCGCCTAAAAGTTTTAGCTGAAATTTGAAACATGATATTAAATATGTCCGCCAATTACATTATACTGGAAAATTAAGTTTTAAAATGATTACCTTTCCTGGAATCGACCCCATCTAAAAGACATTTATCGTGGTAAGGGTCATTTTGCTTCTTTTCTATATGAATATAGTCGTAAATTGCAAAGCTTGAGAACCTGTGTACTAGAGCTGCCGAGCTCAGTATTTCAGCGCAGTTCCTAGATTTTAACGGTCTTGGATTATAACAATTTTTTTTTTTTTTAAATAAAATTATTTTCTACAAGTGTAAACCCAGGAAGTCTTTTGTTCACTAAAAAATTGTGCAGGATCCCAGGAGAGAAACCCTGCAGGATCCCAGGAGAGAAACCCTAATACCCACCAAGTTTCTGTGATCCAGCTTAAGAAGAATTCCTGCATCCGCCAGACAAACCTTTTTGTTGATCTGAGATAAAATGCAACTCTTTAAATTTGAAGATATCTAATTGAATGGCATAACTATAACATGCTAACAAATATTCAGTTACTTAAAATTAGAAATAATGTAATAGTATTACAGGAGAAGAAGAAATCACATCACTATTTTCACTGAGGTCATCTCAAGAAAAGTATAAAATTATAATAATTTGTTTTGGAAAAACGTTGCTAATTTTGAACGATTAGGAAGATCACCTTACATTTTTCCTTAAAAGTTTGACTGCATATATCATTTGAAGGCCCCGTCTCTGACATTCGTATACTATGGAATTTGGGCCCCTGTAATAAAAATGCATAGAAATTTAAAATCTGTACATTTTTTCATTACATTAAAAAATATTTTATGTTGTAAACTCTATTAAAAGTACCGGTAATAAAAATCTGCATTATGCTGAGAATATTACGACTCCATCTATCTCCCTTATAGAAGAAATTTCTTTTTTTTTAATTCGTCCTTGAATAAAACATTGTGTTTTGAGCAAAAATTTCTTTAAAGCGTTTTCATGAATGATATAATACATATTAAACTATTAATATCAAAGACTACCGCACTTTACTTTAATTGGAGCAGCGGTTCTCAACCTGTGGGTCACGGCCCATTTGGCGGTCGTACGACCCTTACACAGGGGTCGCCTAAGACCATCAGAAAACACATATTTATGAAGAAGCCATACAAATGATTTTATGTTTGGGGGGGTCATCACATTATGAGGAAGTGTATTAAAGGGTCGCGGCATTAGGAAGGTTGAGAACCACTGAAACCACCGAATTAGAGCAACGCAATTGAGAAAATAATGATGAGCTCATACAACTTAAATTTTAAAAAAGACAGATGAGGCTCGCGCCTTTAAGGGGACCCGCGAAAAGGGATCCCTTTTGTGTGGGGGGTGGAGATTGATTTGGTCTTGAACGTACATGTAATGGTGTAATCTATAGTACTGGTGGGGATCGCGACCATATCCATACATAACAATTCACAAAATTAAGGGGAGAAAAGAAAAAGTAAGGGAAACTACACAGATTGTATACTTTTCCTGGGATGGCAGTCATCAGTGGAATGATCTGTCGTCTTTTGGTGACTCTATGTCACAATGTTTAAACAGAAAAGAAAATAAAATGAGTAAAACAGAGTAGGGTTAAACCTGAAAAAATAAACGCAACAAAACAGCGAACGTGTCAGCAGAAAGCCTTCGTCACCGAACAAAACAACAGAAAAAACGGTATACAAATAAAAATAAGAAATAGCACTTAGCTGGTAAGTAGTATCTGTTCCACCGAACTTAGCCACCGACTGTAAGGAACTTGCATTCACTCTTTTTAAAAAAACTAGGCACAATGTACATCTCAATTTCCTTCACACACACTTCTATTGCTGCCCACAGATACTACTTACCAGCTAAGTGCTATTTAAGGTCTATATATCAGCCCCATAGTGCCAACATGGGGGCGCTCACTGTTGCTGGTCCTAATCCAGCACTGATACCAACGTCTTTTGAACTTCTTGTTTTCTACTCTGGTCATTTCTTGACCGCACTATTTAGACAGTTGATGTCACTTTCCACGTTGGTTCATATTTTAACACGTTCACTCCGGTACAAGCAGAGGCGTCACCGTCGGTGGTATTTATTCTCACGGGGCGTCAAGTTGTCAAACATAAGAACCTTAGAGAGCTGTCTGGAAAAAATCAGCATCCGGTGCCATATCCTTTTTGTAAGAGCAGACGGTGCTGGGCGTTCAGTGGCAGCACCGTACGTCCCCGCGCACGACGCAACGTGGTGTGTCCATCTTCTGCTTAATGATGTGTCGGTTGTGTCTCGGTGAATTTCCGTAGGAACACAAACGAAGCGCGCCATCTCATTGAACATTTGCACACCCCCCCCCCTTCCCCGGGGTCGAGGCATTTCCCACGGCCCGAAATGCGTTTCTTTCACCCTTCAAGATCTCAGGAAAACATCTTTATAAAAAAACGTTTCACAACATATGTCATAATTACCGACATGTCACCACTTATGAAAAATAAAATCGCATTACTACAAAAGGATTTGGAAAAAGGAAAAAGCCAGGATTTAGCAAAAGTTAGGATGGGCATAGTGAGCACACATTTTCTGCAAACTGGCGTTGCACCTGTGAATCATCGCTAAACTTTTGAAGTCCCCCCCCCAAAAAAAAAAAAAGCACCTTTGCCACTTTTAAGTTTTGTTGAAAAAGCCAGGATTTAGAAAAAGTTTGGATGGGCATAGTGAGCACACATTTTCCGCAAACTTGCGTTGCACCTGTGAATCATCGCTAAACTTTTGAAATCCCCCCCCCCAAAAAAAAAAAAAAGCACCTTTGCCACTTTTAAGTTTTGTGCCCCTGCATCCAAAGTTGATAAATTACATTTTCTCCACATCACAGTATTGACCCTTTTTTAAAATCGTAGTTCCGCTGCAACAGCAGGGCCCACTTGACGACTCTGATTGCACCTATTAATCTTCAGGTTATTAATACTCGGTCGTTTTGTAGTGTAGGCTACCGTCGGGCCGAGACCGAGCACTGTGAGGTCGACGCTCAGCATCACGGGCTCGGTGGTGTTACACGGGATTTTGCCTCTTCGTGGCGTGATGGACTAGGGGGGGGGGGGGGGGTTACTCCTGAAGCTAAAAAATCCCGGCCAAACGCAAGACTTCCTACGCAACGGAAGTTGCGCGCTAACATGATTACGTGTCGCCGATAATGGATATGAGGCTTGGGTTTCTTAAAAAAAACCCTTGCTGAGGATTAAAACATGCTGCCTTGAGAAAGCCGCTCCTAGGTGACCGTTTCGTCCCGACACAGTCCCGACCGAACCACTCCCCGAACGGTGGGGTGAGGTAACGCACCACCTCCCCGGAGAGGAAGCAAAGCCATTCTGACCCACCTCCACACAACTCCCAGGAACGGTTTGGAGAAAGTTAAGCTCGAGACTACTCCCGAGTGGAGGTAAAGCCGTGCCACACCAAGGAACGTACGGCTCCCTGGGCGGTGGGGGAGTCAACGCAACGCCATCCCCGGAGAGGAAGCAAAGCCGTTCCAACCCAACGTCCAGACCCCAAGACCCATTGGGCACGGTCGGTTGTGACGCAAAACTGTCCCCTCATGAGTGGAAGCAAACTCCCCAACAAATCCTATTACTCGAGACCGTGTTGCATGGCCGGAGTCCCCAGGGACTACTGGGCCATGTTTCATGGCCAAGGTCCTAAGAGATAGAATCTCGACCTCCTAGAGTATTGAACTTTATTAGTAGTGTAGGCTATTCAGTTTCCTTAATTATTTTTTATTCTAATTTTTTTTTGTTTTTTGTTTTTTGTTGTTGGCCGCTTATATGGTCGACTGGCTTTTGATATCAGAATAGGCTGCTCAATTATTAGATGTACATCTGGTTGGTTTTAAAAGAATCCACGACATTTTTTATATAAATTCATTAAATGTTTATCAATTGAGTAGAGCCTCGAGCTGGGAGCATAATTTGTTCCAGTGACCGTCTCGTAATCCAAATCATTCTTAAATCAAAGCAAATATTCCCATAAGAAATAGTTTGATTTTTCAAATTTGATTTATTTATTTTTTTTTTTTAAAGTATTCCAATTTATCACAACACTACATAGAGTAAACACAACGTACACAAGCTCGCCCGGATCTCGACAATACCAATGAGGCACCGACGACTATGACCGAGCATGGCAGATATTTATCCGATAGCATAGTACTTAGTGGTCGGCAAATCGTGGCTTCGCGAGTCGCATGCGGCTCTTTAGCGACCTGAGTGCGGCTCGGCCAGTAGGTCACAGATCGGTTTTGACTCCGAAAAACATGGTTCTTGACAGGTTCTTGAAAAGAAATGTGGCTCTCAAGAAAAATTATAATCGTCCTGCTGCTGATTTTTGTCTCTTTTGACTAATGAATTTGCCGCCCACTGCAATAGCTCAATAGTGATCAAACACAATTTGTTGAAAATGTTGCGGGTCTTGCAATGGAGGCTAATTTGTCTTTAAAATCTAGTTTTATTTAACTCATTTGTAATTCTATTTATTGCATATATTCACTCATACGCTGACTTTGAAAAATAATTATGTCAGGCGAATAAATGGGGTGGCTCCTGGGCGGGTCGTATGCTCGCCTTCGTATCTAGTGGCGTAGCTTGAGTTTGGGCCGCCCGGAGATGGACACGATTTTTGCCGCCCTCCTTCCACGAAAAAAAAACAACAAAATCGGAATTACCCTAAATGCCCATCCACCATTTCAAAGCAATTATAAATTTTAAATGTTAAACACATGACATGATATCCTTTGCTTTGTTTAATTCATTTAACAAACGTAAAAATAAATGCTGTAATGTACAATGAGTTAGTTAGATAAATATATTATATATTTAGGAGTTTACAGCATAATGTTAATTTGAAGAAATTCTAACAGTCTATTAATTATAATTAATAGTGATATATTATTGTAAGTTAGAATTTTTAAACGCTAACATTATTTTATTAATTTTTGTAATTACATTGTCATTAAACAGATTTATTAGCAAATTAACAACCAAAATATATATGATCATGAACATCTATATTTTCTTTAAAAAAGGAACTCATAATTTTGGACACAACTTTTTATTTACATTTATTCAAAGCATTAGTGTGACCAGCATGGCCTGCTCTGTGGGTTTAGTTTACGCCTTATAATTATAACTTATAGGCCTGCTTATGTTTAGTCTTAGTTTATAATTACAATTTTCATTTCTATTTGAGTAGGCCTACTATAACAATGCACAATGGCCAAGCATGAATTTTAAACGATTGAACTTTGATTAAAGTTATAGAATGCTTCCCCCAATTTAATGATTAAGTTTAATTTTTAAATTATAATTTAATATTTTAAATACAAATTATTTTTAATAACGTAACGTAAAAAAAAATTAAGCTAAATGAAAAACTGACCTTCCTAATTCGTTTTTAATTTCATATTGATTAGAAAAAGTATATCTTTTGGTGCTCTGGTCTATCCAAAAGTCTCGTCTTTTCAGAAGTGGCATCGTTATATTATGATCTTACTAATAGTTATTTACAGTGTAATCCGAGTTGCCCCCCAGCCCACCATTTGTAAACTACGCGTAAAGATGTGACGTAAGAGTATTTTTAAAGTTTAAAAACATTGCGTATTTTGGTTTAGCTTTTAGCAAATTCTAGGGGAAATAATTAAAAATAGCATACACTATATCAACAGCATGGGCATGGAACTTAACTATTTTTGAAATTAACTTAATATTAACTGTTTTTAAAGATTAGATTAGTAAATTAAAGTATTAACAGAAATCTGGGCCAAGTCATGTATAGGCCCTACTATACGTAGTAATTAGTAGGCCTAGTTAGTAGTAGTATGTATAGTAATATGTTAAATTTTTTATTGATACTATTTTACAACGGCAACGCAAGTGTAAGATCTAGCACAAACATTCTTTTTATATTAAATATAATTAAATACAACAATTTCTACTATAACATAAATCTTTATTCTGCACACGATTTGTTTGTTTTATTATAATATAAAACTAAGTCTTGCGGGCCCCCCCCCCCCAGATTTAGTAGGTTTGACTAAGTCTAGAATCCCCTGCAATATTAACAATGTAATATCGCAATTTACAAATTTGAAAAATATTGAGTCCTAATTTCTTTAAATTCTTTTCTTTTATTTAATTACAAAGAGAGCTGATAAAAATATATTTTATTTTGTTCCATTAACCGTTAGTAATTTATGGTTTTACATTGAACTTTTAAAAAATAATTCCTGGAACTGAAACAAAGTACACGAATAAACTGTCAATAATTCTTTTTCTTAGTTATAACAAACTAAAAACGATTAACTTCAGACCCAGAACACTTAAGGCCTAACTTCATGCTATGACTAGAGCTGCCAGCTCAAATTGTATAACTAATTGATCCTTGGAAGAGGAGGTTACCCTTTTAGGAATAGTCCATTAGACTGACTTACTTACTTAAACTATACTTAATATTAATATTAAAATTAAAATAATTAAGTAAGTTAATTTAATGAAGAATTAAGTGGTCTATACTATATTATACTATACACTATTCAGTATTAGTATTGTATACAGTATCAGTATACTTTGTTAGACTGGTGTTAGTGTAGATAGTTTAAATAAGTTATAGACATAGAGTTAATAATTTAAGTTACATTCATATAGTAAAGTGAAGAAGCCTACCTATGCCTATAGTCTGTAACTATAAACTATAAATTATAAACTGTATTGTTAAATTTAATATTATAGTCATAGTAATTTAGTAAAGACACTTACACTATGATAGTCATGGTAAAATAGTGTAAGTGTAGTTAAAATATTTTAAGGACCTTATTAAGCCAATTAAGGTACATGACATAATAAAGTATAGATCTAATATTATTTTATATTTTTTTACTAATTTACTATGTCATGTCATGTTACTATCACTACTTCATTTGTCTGCTATGAAAGTCACTCTAAGCCTCAATAAGACTAAGAAAAAAGTTCTAAGGTCTAAGGTTGCCAGGTCTGCTTCCATAAAATAGCAGACAAGCGGAGGGGGAGTAATTTTAAAAAGTTAACAATTAAATTATATATATTCTTACAAACATTTTAACACATATTAAAATAACCACTTCAAAACTTTACTTAAAATTCAAAACATCAAATGTATTATAATATAGTAGACACCTGGCAACCTTACTAAGGTCTAAGTCAGTGTTTTATAATACAGTGGACACCTGGCAAACTTACTAAGGTCTAAGTCAGTGTTTCTCAACTTGAGGAAATTCGAATACAAATAGGACAATATATTAAATAAGTATTTGGTAAAGATATTTTTTGTTTTAATCCTACAACGTCCTTAAACGTTCCAAAAATTTGAAATTCAATCTTCCATTTGAGTTCTAGACTGCAGCGAGAGTGAAGTAGGCAAGACCTTTTTTAAGTTCTTCCACTTAAAAAAAAAAAAAAAAGAAAAAGAGTCTACAACGTCCTTAAACGTTCCAAAAATTTGAAATTCAATCTTCCATTTGAGTTCTAGACAGCAGCGAGAATGAAGTAGGAAAGACCTTTTTTAAGTTCTTCCACTTAAAAAAAAAAAAAAAAGATAAAGAGGGGGGGGGAGACATTAAATTTAAATCTAAGTGTTTAGGTTTTAGGTTGTGCACAAATGGTTTGGTAAACACTGGACTAGTCTAAACTAATAATCTGAATCACTCTAGCCCAACGTAGGTATCAGAAGCCAAAGTTATATATAATATTAGTTATATAGACATAAAGAATAGTTGGTTTTTTTATCACTGAACTATGCATTTATGTAGAATGCATACATTTGTCTGTAGTTATTGTGAAATGGAATGAAATTTATTTAAATCCTTTATTTTTCCTAGATGAGTTTCTTACGTATCTACCGTTTGTGCCCATCCCTAAGATCTCGTCATTCAGGATCTCGCATTTTGGCCATTTTAGCTGGATGTACATTCTTTATCCTTCTCCACTACTTACTCAAGTGGGAATCAGGTGACATTAATGCTTTCATCTATCTAGATATTGAAATTCCAGATAATTTTACCCCTGTTCGAATAAAAAAACGTGAAGATTTTCCTTCAAATGGCAGCCCCAAAATTCCTAAAATAATTCATCAGACTTGGAAAAATTCAAATGTGCCACCTGAATTTGTGAGTTGGATAAAAACTTGGTTGCAGCATAATCCTGATTGGGAATACTGGCTGTGGACTGATATAAGTTCAAGACAGCTAATTGCAGACTTGTATCCTGATTTCTTAGACATCTATGATGGATACCCAGAGCCCATCAGGCGAGCTGATGCTTTTCGCTACTTTGTTCTTTATGAATTTGGAGGATTGTATGTAGATATGGACATGGAAGCCCTTGATTCACTTTTACCTTTAACCCTTAAATATCCTTGTTTTATTGGCCAAGAACCATACGAACATCCAATAATTGACACAAATTTTAATCAGCTTCTGATAAATGCCTTAATTGGGTGTCAAAAAGGACATCCATTTATGAAAATGCTTATTAAAAATTTACCTGCCCACTCAATATTATGGCATTACCTAGATAGTACTGGGCCTCATTTTGTGACAATGATTTATAGACAGTACCAATCTGAAAGAAATTTACTTGAAGAGGAAAATTATATTTATGTTGCACCATCAGAATATTTCTATCCCACAATCGATCCTGCTAAACTGAAATATATGTTTACCAAGTGTAGTGATAAAAGCCAGCTCTCAAAACTTCAAATCAATGCTTGCATGAATTTGAAGTACAAAAGCTTGCCAGAAAACAGATTTGATCCATTAACAATAGCTTTTACAAATCATCACTGGTATCACACTTATCTGAAAACAAAATCATCAGTACTCACAGGATACACATCTATTTATGACATTGTTCCTAATGTCAATGTTTATAAGAATATGTGAAGAAAAAAAATTGTGTTAGCTGTTTTACCTGTGTTTGTAATGTAACTTCACAGGGTAACGATAAATTAAAAAAATTACCCAATATTTTTTTAAGCATAGTAAGCCGTTGAATTGTGTAATTTTAATATGTTAATTAAAATTAGCAGCATCTTTTTCCTTCAGTTTCTTTATGGATGAATTCAGTTATTGAGAATTTAAGAGAACCAATTCAACATTTTCAAGTTTATTTCTTATCATGTGATAGGTAAGCAGAGACGATGTTTGGTTATTATAGTTACCATTTTACCAATGAAAGAAGAAAGAAACCCCAAATTGCAATAAGTTTTAATAATTTAATGTTATTAACAAAATCTGTTTGTTGTCGTTTTTTTTCTAACCAAAGGTGGGATGAAAAAAAGTAAAAAGTAATTTACCGTCTTGTGTGAAAGTGAAAGAAAGTTGTGTGCTGTCTCCAAATAAGAGTTTTAAAATCAAACTGGCAAAAGTTACCTCTGTCATATCAGTGTTATCAAACACCCTGGTTCATGATGACTTTGGTACACTACCAACTTTTCTGGTAAAAAGACATCTCAAAGTACAATTGAAATTAGGGTTATGGTCATCTGACACTTTAGTGTACCGGTATAAACTTGCAACATAGAAAAGAAAAATATCCAGGACTGTTTTCTAACATTATTTTAACAGGTGACGCCTCTTCCAATCAAAAATGTATGTCCTCCCCCCAACCTCCTCCCCACATCCTACTTAGTCTCTGAGCTTGCCATAATAATAATGTTATGATGAATTTTAATGTTATTCTATTTCATTTCTTTTCTACATGTTTATTTTTAAGCACTTTTTTCTCTTCATTAATGTTAATATTTTGTTGAAAAATGTCTGGGTCTTCCCGCATCCCATAGCACTGCCTCCCTCACCTCCTGGTTAAGAACCCCTGATCTTAGTTATTCAAATTACTTGAGATTGACATTTTTGGTAAATTTTAATGCACCACTTGAACCCATGAAATTTATTATGTATTGTATAGTTATCTATTTGCTATTTAAAAAAAAAATATATTTTTTGAAAGAGTTATTATTTATGAATAAAAGTACAGATGCATATGAACCGTTGAAATTACAAAACTGAGGTAAAAAGTCAATGCAATTTGACAGGTAAAGTCTCTCAGTATTAATTGCTTTAACATCTTTTGATCTACAATTAACAATAATGAAAAAATATATTATACAATAAATTATTTAAGATTAATTCATTGTAACTAATATTAATTTATTCTGCTTTCAATCAAGAAGGAACTTAATGGTCTGACATACTAATTCCTTGTGCAGGCAAAATCTCTTCTTGAGAATCGTTTATTAATGATTTTTGAAATGCAAATTCGGATTGCATTCCCCCAAAATGTACAGGGAAGGACAATTATAAAATTTGTATGCCTGCCATTTTTCCTCAGTAGCAAGGAGTACAGAATTGGTAAAGAGACCTTAGCAACATGTTGTGTCAACTTTCTTTACTCCAACGAGCTCAAAGTTGGGATATTAATCATGTACTTTTGTGTTGTATACTTTTGGTTGAGCTGAATGATAGTGAATACCAGACAATAATATGAATTATCAAACCACTGCCTCAAATTATAGAATTTTATCAGGGACATTGTTTTTTAACTTTCATTGCCAATATTTATTTGTATGCAGTACTTTGGATCTATGGTATTAACCTGGGTCAATGTGTTCAAATTAGGTATTGGGTACATATTATTTGCTGGTAACATACTAATACTACGGTACTAACAATTACAGAAAATAATAGTTTCAAATATTAAGAGGATCCTAAGCAACAGAGATTGAGATCTTTAAAATTATATTTTATAATAGATTTATAGTTAATTATAAAATATCACATAATTGTCTTGTTTCACATTCACTAGCAAAGTTATAAAATATATTTTGTTAAATTGTTTTTAAAAATTCTCATTAATTTTTTTGCCATTCCTTTTTTTAAAATTTCAACCAATAGATTGTGATTTTTATTGCTAATATTACACATTTCAATTTTAAAGTTCAAAATGTTTTAATGCATTTATTTAGTGATTACAAATTAATAAATATCTTTTACACAATTTGTCTTTGTTTCCTTTCCATTTTGATGTATTAGAGTATGGTATTTACTATCTCTTTTAACTGTGATACAATTTATTTATTTTAAATTTGCGTTTAAAATGTAAACTTTTCTTGGAACAGTATGGAATATTCTAGGGTTGGAATGTTCTAGGGTTGGAATATTCCTCCTTGACTTGACTACTACACACTTGCATAAGAGTAGTGCAAAGCAAAGCAATACAATAATTTTAGCAATGAAATGTTCAGAACTTAATTTAACCTTGAAAAAAGAGAGTTTTTTCTACAAACTTATACATTTTTTAGTGCAAAATTAAAGGCCTCATTATCTGAGAGTTGTTGAGCAAGAATAAAATTAATAAAAAGAGTGCAAAATAAACCTGTATCAGTATCATGATATATTTTACCAGTTCTTTATTTTGAGAAGGATTTTTTTTTTGCTGGCATCCATTTGTCACAATGGAAAATGGTGTAGACATCGAAAGACAAAATCAGAAGGCCTGGGATTATTATTTTTTTAGGTTCCCTAGACAGCAAATTGCTTCTCTCCATGCCACTGGATAACCCAAGGGAACATACAGCTTGGCACCAGTGGCGTCGTCGTAATGTTTCATTGCGCCAATGTTATCAGCCTATGGGTTTTGAATTCTGAGTTTCCTAGATGAGTTGCCATCCAAGGTTAACAAGTCCCATCCACCTGGGGTGCTGGTGATGTTTTTGCTTGACTGGGTTTTGGTTGGAATTGAACTTGAGACCACTTGACTACCCAGCACCCTAGGATTATTAAGTTGATTAATAAAAAGTTGTTTGAACTTAAAAACCATTTTAGTTAAATTTTAAAGTTTTAATCAAACACAGAATTTTTAAAAAATAACAAATCTTTTATCAATTGCTTTTTAATTGGATGGAAAATACATGTACTGATATAAATACAGTAATAGCTGTTTATAAGAACAATCAAAATATGCATTAAAATAATTGTGGTTTTTTAAAAGGATGTGTTATATGTATATATTCAAAGTTTTTACAGAAGAAGTATAAGTAAAACTTGCAAAGTTGATATGATCAAAATGATACACTTAGTCTCCTGTAGTTGGTAGGTGCAATAGAGTAGGATCATTAAAAATTATTTTAAAATCAACTTCCCAATCTATAAATTTAATTTTATGTCCATCTTATAATGACACGAAGTGTAGCCTTATGCTGACAAAAGAAACATCCTATTTCATTCAATGCACAAAAGTTCATGAAACATTTACAATTTACAGGTGATTTATATATCACATGCTGCCATATATTTTTACTGAAATATGTTTTTTTACAAAGATACTTTCCATTGAATAAGCTTTTGCTATAAATGAACATTATTTACAAATATCCGTCCAGAAGTTTCATTCTCCATTACAAATTCCATATGAGATACATCTTACTATTACCTGAAAGTACATCTTTTTTTTTACTATTATTTTCATTTCAGAGTCACATGATCTCTGATCTGAACTATTAGAAAAGATTTTGTTGAATGTGTGGAAATTTGTAAAAAAATGAAGAATGATTAATGATCTTGCTTTCATACTTTACATTTGAAAAAAAATTGATATATACAGGAACCTTTACATACTAATTGATTATTTTAGAATAGTAAATACTGCACTTTAAATTACTTTTAGCTGGATTCACATATTTTTGTAAAGTTTTCTTTAGTTTAAAACTTAGTTTACCAGTGACTAAAGCAGCTGTTCTCAACCTATGGGTCGCGACACCTTTGGGGGTTGAACAACCCTTTTCCAGGGGTCGCCTAAGACCATCAGAGAATAAATATACTCTACAGTTATGAAGTTGCATTAAACATAATTTTGTGGTTGGGGGTCGCCACAACATGAGTAAGGGTTGCGACATTAGGAAGGTTGAGAACCACTGATAAAGGCTTATAGAATTTTAAAATATATTTTAATTATCCATCATTAATTCTTTTTGCAGTACATTTAATGTTCATAACCAAATCCTAATGTAAAAAGAAGCTTTTTTAAAAACTGCTCTGATTAGCGTGAAAATTTAATTTGATAAAAAAAAATATTGCAGTAACTTCCTCAAATAACTCATCGTCTGTTTCAATATTGCACATAACTGAAAATTCTTTTTGCTAAAAGGAGGTTTAGAGATGCATTAATATCAAGCACTTTTCTAAAAGAATGTAAGCAAAATATTCATTTATTACGTGAACTTCTTGTGAACTGTCTGTGAATGAAGAATTAAAGAAAATAAATGCTTAATTATTTGGACGGTAACTATTACCTATTAGTGATAGTGCTTAAGTCAAAAGATTGATATCCTTTAACTCGGCCCTCTTATATCAATAAGTTAAAACAAAATTTTTAATAACATATAATTTGCCTGACAAAAGCAATAAAAGTCACTGGGAACATTGAATGAATCACCTTGAGCTTATGGCACTTTAATAGAAATATTTAACTCCTTTACTTGTGTAGTTCTGGGTCATGAATTTTTTTTAAAGGCAACTTTATGACAAAAAACATTAATTTCACAAGATATTTAATGAACCAGTTTAAGTTTATACAAGGCATAAAAAGTCGCTCAAAATAAATTTACATGTTTTAGAATTTCAGATGAAATGCATATTTTTAAGCGAATTTCATAATTTATTTTGCATAATAGATTTGATAAGAAACTGCATTTAATCCTACAGCATTATGCAACTATCCTAAAAACACTTAGATAAATTAAAAGTTTCATGACTGCCATGTCTTAATTGCTATAGATAAATTATGAAAACTAAATTTAAAAGCCACCCTTACATTACTGTCCTTCACTAATGTCTTAATACTTAAATACAAACTTAAACCAAGTCAAACTATTTTCCATTTTTACAAGGTACATTTTTTACTCACCAACTGGCTTTTTAAATTAGAAATTGACAAATATTTAAGATATCTATTTTTTTTAAATGAGTAATAAATGTCTATATATATATAGAGAGAACTATGGGTTGAGAACACATAAATAAGGAAAGCATTGCTGTCATTTGCAATATTGCCATTATCATTGTCAAAGAATATAAAATAATAGTAATTATTAGTTTCCCCTTTACACTGCCATCAAGGCTTATTTTTTAAATTTAAAAAAAAAACACTGCATCAAACTACTAATATTAGACAAATGTATGAAAAGAATAATCTCGTTTTATATTGCTTTAATTGTGACAAATTAAGATGTATATAAGAAATGAATAATATAAAGATTAATAAAAAAAAATATCTGAAATTAAAATTACCATACTATTCCAGCACAAAAAGCCCTGCATAGATTTATAAGTTATCAGCTTTGCTTGTGCAAGATATAAACTGATAAAGTAAATTTAATTTGTGAAAATGATATATGTAATAGAAAAAAGTTCTCATGATTGCAAACCACAATGAAGTGAACATTTTTTAAGTTAGGTATATGTGGTTTAAGACATGAGAGAGAAAATTAAAAAATTGTAATAAAACTGTTAAATGCAACATCACATTTTTTTTTAAAAATGCATATCTTAAGACAATGGATTTGATTTTAGGAATGCTTCCCTTAGAACTCATTCAGCACTTATGTCTGTTAAATGAAAATTACAAATATTCAGCAATGAAATTAGAACTATTCATTTGCATAATATAAAGTAATTTACTAAAAAGGCAAAATAGGAGCTAGTCATCCTTTATCATGTTTGTATGAGCAACAGTCATTGCCACGGTTTATATTGATATATTAACCAACTTGACAGAATTAAAAGTCAAAATGATAGACAAGCAATTACAATTCTGTCAGTCAATATATAATTTGCCACAATTATTATCATGAAATAATCTAAAGTCTGCTAAAAATCCATTAATGAACTTTCATTGTAATGCAACAATGAATGGATTTTTAATTCCAGAGAGGCACAGATGCAAGTTGCCATAGGATATACATAAATGATCCACGAGGCATGAAATCCATTTAACATCATGGACACGATCGAGTACACGATAAAATCCTCATGGCCTGATGCACTATCTGAAATTCACTCGACTTTGATGCCATAGTTGGTGGATGTCATGAGTCTCCCATATATCTTTTTTTATGATTTGTCAACATTTCTGTCACCACCACTATTCTTCTCGTAGAGGTCTGTGGGAGAAAAAAAGATATATTACTAAATTACCTAATAGGATGACTTGGTGGCACAGTTTGTATGACAAATGACACATGACAGCCTGCGGTTCATACACCAGCTACTAGACCTGGTAACACTAGAACTCCCAAGATAGTACAATATAGCCTCAGGAGAGTACTTTACCATCTCAAAATACTGAATTGCAATAGTAAATAAATAACCGCACAGTCCATGGGATGTTAAATTAAGGTCACTTCTCAAAGTAAATGATTGACGTTAATATATTTATATACAGTGCACTATTGAAAATAATGTATCTGGCCTTTAAAAAAACATGTAGCATAATAACTGCAGCAAACTATAATGGGACAAGAGAAGAGGAGGGCTGGGATATGGTACAGCTGCTTAGTGACTTCTAAAAATAGATCCAAATGTAGCTTACTATATCATATAAAATATGCACACAAAAAACTAAGGCTGCTGTGTGGTGCAGTTAAGAATGAATTTTTTTTTTTAAATCGGTAGTTTTCTTCATTTTTCCAATCATCGCCGTTCAGCTGAAGTACAAAATAAGTATGGCACAAAATTACATCATACAGCACCGAATCAAACAAAAACGAATGTTCACTAAATTTTCATTAGGGAGAATAGACTTAATATTGCTGTTGCATTGTGAAAATAAAACAACAATATGAGGATTATTACAAAACGCAGTGGTGTTAAATTATAGTCTTTTAAAATATTTAGAAACCCCCTTACCCCTCCCATGCAGACCTATACGCTACCAAGTCAACACCACCCTTTTTCCTCCTGCGTATAGTGCCTATATTAGAAAGACTTTTTTCCAAAAGTGGGAGGGGTGAAGCAGACCTGTTTACTCTTAAGATTTTGGCGTACAATGTATGGCTTTGAGATGTCTTTTACGAGACCTGTCACTCCAAGGTCAAGGAAACTAAACAATTATTTTTACAGGATAGGCAATATAGCCAACTTTTTTCCCCACCCATGTACCTTTCTAAAAATATATACTTATTGGGGTCTTGTATCAATATTTTTATTTCATTTAATGCTATTTCAAAAGTTACTCAAAAAGTTCTGAAAAGCTCACACACTACAGAATGATCTATGCCACAGTTCGTGGGTTAATGGGTAATAATAAATTAAAAAAATTTTTTGGTTATTAGTTTTAAGTCCTTTCTGTAGCCAGTGATGAATGGACAGAGAAATACGATTGGCTGTGGATCATTCATCCATAATTACTAGCTTAAAACAGAAAAAAATAGGGGATAAAAAAAGCCTTTTTTATGTTTTTTTTAAAATCATTTTTAATTGCGCACATCTTTTATTGTTACTGTTGAACAAATGCAAAGAAAGACATACCAGAGTGGGCATCAACTTCGAATTATCAGCATGATTAACTAACTTTGTCAGCCAGCTTTTAAAATATGCTGGTTAAATTTTAGATACATCTGCTAAAATTTATTGCTCTGATTATTTTGGATGCTTGTGGTCCATGTCATTTGTGCTTTGCTTTGAAATTTTGATTACATATAATTCAGAATAGGTAAATAAGAATTTAGAAAACTTGTTAATTAAAATTTACCACCAAACTGAAATGTGTTACAAATTTCAAGTTTCTAGGATCAGGAGCTAAAAAAAAAATAAATAAACACACTCATGTCATACTTAATAATACAGGGTTTTAAACCTTATTTGGTCTCTCAAATTTGGCAATGAATTTATTATGCTTTTTAAAAATTTGCATCAATTTTACCTGATTTTGCATAAGAGCTTTTAAAGCATCTAGATGAGTATCACATAGCTGATGGATGGTTGCAAGCTCTCTTGCAGAATCTCCTGGCAAAATTTCATGAACTGAAGGCTCTCTTGGGATATTCTGCAACAACATTAGTTAAATTCACAAATTATTTCTAGCTTCACATATTTTGCCATAAAAAAAATTGCCTTGCAGACTTTTAACTTGTGTTGTGCTCTGAATTTCCCCAAACTTATTAACTGAGACGGAGATAGATTTATATAATTGTAAAAGGAGTTTATTTGAGAATAGTTTTCTTGAATGGTATCTACTGAAATGTTATTTAACCAGATAAACTAACTCTTAAAAAAACCTTAAGAAATCATAAGTAGGGCAACTGCTGCTCTTAATTTAAGCATCAGACCATTATGTCAAAGTGTAATTCTGATATTTATTAAGGTAAACTCAGAGGAACATCTCCACAAGTAGGCCACAAAAACATGCACCTAAAAATAAGAAAACAAAAGAAAAGAAGACCCCAGCTCTTGGACTAGCAAGCTGGAACGTAAGGACTATGTGCCCGGGCATTACTGCCGACCTGCAGCTCATAAACGATGCAAGGAAGACAGCTATCATTGATAGAGAGCTTAGCAGGCTAAACATTGATATTGCCTGTCTCCAGGAAACTAGGCTCCCCGAATTTGGTACCATAAGAGAACACAACTACACTTTCTTCTGGCGGGGTGGACCAATGGACGCACCAAGACAACATGGGATTGGTTTTGTTATAAAAAACACACTCTGCTCCTCCATAGAACCACCGACTAAGGGCACAAATAGAATACTAACTATCCGTCTATCAACATCTTCAGGTTTAGTCAACATCCTCAGTGCTTATGCCCCAACCCTTTCCTCCAGCTCAGAAGCCAAAGACTAGTTCTACGAACATCTTAATCAAACAATAGCCAGCATACCCAACAACGAAGCAATTTACCTTTTAAGTGACTTCAAAGCAAGAGTAGGAGGAAGCGATCACATGGCCTGGCCAACATGCCTCGGCCATTTTGGAAGAGGCAGGTTAAATGAAAATGGGCAGAGACTATTGGAACTGTGCTGCCTACATGGACTATGTGTAACTAACACCTACTTCAACTGTAAGGCTATCCACGAAGTGTCATGGAGGCATCCCCGCTCTAAACACTGGCACCAGTTAGATCTCATAATCACAAGAAGCACACAACTGACCAGTGTCCTCCTCACACACAGCTACCACAGCCTTAGTGGCTAGCAAGATAAGGCTACAGCCAAAGAAACTGTATCACACTAAAAACAAGAGTAAACCACGCATAAACATCTGCTTCACCAAAAACCCAGAGAGAACAGAAGTATACACCCTTAGTCTACAGGAAGCTCTTGTACAAACGCCACAAATGGACACTATCGAGTCCAAATGGTCACATTTGCGGGACACTATCTATAACTCGGCTATCACGGCATTTTGAAAGAGAGAACGCAAAAGTGCAGATTGGTTCGAGGTCCATTGGCAGGAAATGAAACATGTCACCGATGCAAAAAGAAAGGCCCTCTTAGCTTATAAAGACAGACCTTGCCCAGCAACTCTACAATCACTTAAAAGCGCCAAGACAAATGCCCAGCAGGCAGCTCGCCAATACGCTAACACATACTGGCTCAATCTAAGGTCCAGGATACAATCAGCTGCTGATAGAGGTGATGCAAAGGCAATGTACAAGAATATAAAGCAAGCAACAGGCCCTCTGATCTCCAAAACTGCGTCCTTAATGTCCAAATCAGGGGACATTATTACTGATCGAGATAAACAACTAAAGTGGTGGATAGAGCACTGCTTGGAAATTTACGCAATGATAAACCATATCTCAACCGCTGCCCTGGACGATATCCCAGACTTACTGGTCATGGAGGAGCTTGATACCCTACCCACCACAAAAGAGCTAAGTAGAGCCATCGATTGTCTCGCCAGAGGGAAAGCCCCGGACAATGATGGTATCCCACCAGAAGCTCTGAAATGTGGAAAAAGAGTACTATTACGGCCCTTGCACGATTTCCTTACTCTGTGCTGGGAACAGGGACAGCTACCACAAGAGTTGAAAGATGCAAACATTGTTACATTATACAAAAATAAAGGAGACAAGAGTGAATGCAACAACTATCGTGGAATCTCCCTCCTCAGCATAGTTGGAAAGGCTTTCGCCCGAGTTGCATTAGCACGCCTACAGATCCTAGCATCGCGTGTACTCCCAGAATCGCAATGTGGTTTTCACGCCGGTAGGTCAACAATAGACATGATCTTCTCTCTGCGCCAGCTGCAGGAGAAATGCAGGAAGCAACATATGCCTTTATACATTGCGTTTGTCGACCTCACTAAGGCTTTTAATCTTGTCAGCAGAAGCGGCCTGTTTCAGATCCTAAAAAAGATAGGCTGCCCTACACGACTGCTTTACACATCAAGCAGTTCCACGAAAACATGCAGGGCACAGTGTGCTATAACGGTGCCTCCTCAGGAGCTTTTCCAGTGGGTAGTGGAGTAAAGCAAGGTTGCGTGCTGGCTCCTACTTTATTTGCAATCTTTTACTCCATCCTACTCCAGTATGCCTTTCAGAACAACAGCGAGGGGATATACATCCACACTAGAAAATGACTGCAAATTATTCAACATTGCCCGCCTTAGAGCTAAGACTAAAACAAGAAAGGTCATGCTGCGGACGATGCCGCTTTGGTATCTCACACAGCTGACGGCCTGCAGACAGCCTATCCGCTGCCTGAAAAGAGTTTGGCCTGACAATTAGCCTAAAGAAAACTAACATTATGGCACAGGGCGCTGACTCCCTCCCCACTATCGCCATCGACTACTACGACTTGGACACTGTTGACAGTTTCACATATCTGGGATCCAACATATCGAGCACCCTCTCAATGGAGGATGAGATAAGTGGAAGGATAGGGAAGGCCGCAACTGTTATGGCCAGACTGAAGAAAAAGAGTCTGGTCAAACGCCAAACTCACAACAAGAACTAAGCTGCAGGTGTACCGGGCCTGCGTACTGAGCACACTCCTGTATGGATGCGAGTCGTGGACCACATACTCTAACCACGAAAGAAGGCTCAATGGCTTCCACCTCAGATGCCTGTGCCACATCCTTGACATTAAATGGCAAGACAAAGTCCCCAACACGGATGTCCTCTCCCAAACAAACATGTGTAGCCTCCCAGCCATGTTAATCCAAAGACACCTCCGCTGGCTTGGACACGTCAAGCGAATGCAACCTGGTCGCATACCAAAGGACGTGCTATACAGCGAGCTGGCGACAGGGAAAAGGTCAGTTGGACGGCCTCGTCTGAGATATTTAAACATATGCAAAAGAGACATGAAGTCAGCTCACATCAACATCTCAAACTGAGAGGAGCTGGCAGAGGATCGATCCTCATGGCGGGACATTGTGAAGGCAGGATCACTACATGCCAAGGAGCAAAACAGGGCGGAAACAGCTGCAAAAAGAGCGAGGAGGAAGGCCGGTAAATACTGCTCCACCGCATTCGTGTCTGGGAAAATGTAACAGAGACTGCCATTTGAGGATTGGTCTCACCAGCCACACCAAGAGCTGCAAGCAATAAAGATAATCTATCGTCTCCCGCAGACGGAAAGATGCCATACATATATAAGGTAAACTAAAAAAAAAATTTTAAATTATGAAATATTATAACTTGTAGGTTGACTTGTTGCAGACCAGTCAGCAAAAGGTAAATAATAATAGACCAGTATATGATACTAAACTAAATAGCCCTGTAAAAAATTATTGCCACAATGCATTTGTGATGAATATTGCCTTAACCTCTATATTATTAAAAAAAAAAGTAATCTGATGAACCATGGTATTTTAGGGTTAGATGGATGTTCATATTTTAACAAATAACATCATCTTAAAATTTCATACCTATGATGATAAGAAAATATTGACTACTGAAATTAGAAACAACATATAATGTAAATAGATTACATACAGACAGCTCATCAAGATATGAAATCATTCTGTCTTTATTTTTCTTGACAAAAGGTTGAACAACTTCCATGTAAGCTTCCTTTATAAAAAATAAATTGTTTTAAAACAATGAAAATAACAACTGTAGTAAATCCTGATATAATCAAGGCTAAAAATATGTTCTTATTTTATATACAAAGTGTATGGTATCTAGTGCAGAATAATGTGTATCCTAGATAATAAAATACATGTCATGCTCACTTCAATGTTTTCCTTATATTTACATTTTTTCATGGTCTTTGTAAATAAAATATTAAACATTGATTCCTGATTTAATAAAGCATATAGTTTCATTCAAATCTGTCTACGAAACAGGACAGAAGACTTATTATTTCATGTATTTACATAAGCCTGAAGAATTTTTCCGTGAATAAAAAATGTCAAACATTCAGTGAGGAAGGAATGAGTAACACATAGCATAATAATATGTAATCATTGTTCAAGGTATTGTTTTGTAGGCTTGGAATATATTTCATGGTATACGATTGCTCTGTGCTAGCTCGGGAGGCTGGCTTTGGTGTTATATATAATTACAGGGAAATTAACAGCTCAGAAAATTAGTTACAAATTATATTCTTTAATCATATAGGAGATTACTAATATGAACTAAGTGGGAAATTAATAAATTTGATGCATACAAATTTTTTTTTATAAATGAAGATTGTACATTACCTTAGGTCCAACATCAACAAGGTTTGCCAAATTCTGTAAAGCCTTTGCAACAAGTTTAAGAGTTCTGGCTGCAGTTTCTGAAGGATTTTCTACATTTAAAAAACAGAGATGTTTGAGAGCTTTAAGTTAATATAGATTAAAATGGTAACAAGGGGGAAAGACTGCTATCAGGTTAAAAAATGGAAATGTGTGAAACAAAGTATGGGAAAACCTGAAACCTGTTGCATTATTTTTTTCAGGCTTTCCCATACTTTTTTCGCTCATTTTGATAGATAGTAATGGTGACTGTATTTTGAAAACTGGAGGAAAAAATTATAAATAACGGTAATTTGAGAAATAAAACTTACCTGAAACTAAATTGAAAGACTTTGGGTTGATAATTGCAGGACAGAGGAGACGGAGAAATATAAAGCCACTGAGGAATGAGCATAAAATGAGTTATCTTAAGTTGGCCTCTAATTAAATCATTTGTTAGACATATTCACAAGTTAATGATAATTAAATGTTGAATCTAATTTTTTTTACCTGATAACACGAGTTTTCACTGTATCATCACTTGGCCATTTTGCTCTAGCTCTTTTTTGTAAACAGTTACACACAAAACGTAAGGTTCTGAAAATGTAGATTTTAAAAAAACTATTATTGGAAGTCTACACTTTAAAAGTGATTAGGAATAACCCTATGAGCTCTTAAAAGTAACTTGTAGGCAAACTGTCAAAGAGCCATGAATTATGCAAAATAGAAAAATAAAATGTGTCTTGCAATTTATATAAATATCAAAATCCATTTTTTACTAAAAACTTTCTTTGAATTCCAGTTCTTTGTCAAGTACGTCTGGTGACTATTTTAATTGGTAACAAAAATAGGAGAGATTTTAGCACAAATTTGTATGTTAAAAATTAATGATGATATTATTTGAAAAATGATTTTTTTACTTACAGAGGACAAGAATCTATTGATGAAAATATAGATTCCACAACCTCTGTTAAAAGGCGAAGAAAAAAATCTGAATTTGATTGCTGGTCTGTTGTATTCTCCAAAAATTTTGGGTCAAGCTGAAATAAAATTACACAACTTAATCTTTAAATACAGTTGTCTTCAACATTTTTAAATCATTGAAATAGGTGATAAACTTATTTATTTAAATTGATAAAATTCACTTCACCTCGCAGGACTGTTTAAGCTCCACTATCTTTTGAACAGATTCTTTTACTGCCCTCTGAACAAAATTTGTAGAAGTTAACTTCATATATTGCACCATAAGAGTTGTTGCTAGAGAGCCAGCCCGAAATAATGTTGATACTTCAGCTTGAAAAATAATTTCAAAACTATTATTAAAATTAATAACTATCGTCTGTCAAACTCAAATAATTACAAAATAATATTTATTTTGTGCATTTGTGAAACTGAAAAGATGACCAAGGTAAAAATGTTTTAAAAGAGAAACCCTACGGAAATCTAAAGAAGCATCATGATAAAGGTTACCTGTATATAAGTTATAAAATGTATGTGTCTGACTATGAAATGTAAACAAGAATACAAATTATTATAATTTGACATTTTTTATATATTATATTATTTTTTTCAAATAAATATTTTTCTTTGCACTTACCTTCCTTCTCTATTTCTTTGTCATTTAAAGCACACAGCAATCCGGCTTCTTTTCGTTCATGGCGAAAAATCTGTAATAGCGCATAAGCTAATGTTGAACGCTCACTTTCTCCAGAAACTTGAGATATAGTCAAAATATGCTCATACCCATCATCTAGTAGTAACTGTAAAAAACAATTTTCAACGATTTTAAAAAATGTATTGTTTTTAATATTTAAAATGTTGGAATTTAAAACTGACTTGTAATCAGACGTTGAAAATATTTTGACAGCAACAGATAGAAAATATGCTTAATAAACTATGATCACATTATTTGCATATTTTCTGCTGGCTACAGGTTGAGTATTTGCTATTGATATTAGTAAAAATCCAGGTAAAAATCAGAATGGTAAAAATCAGAGTACATTTACTATAGCAAATTTTGGCTAAAAGTTTCATTTAAAACTTACACTTTGAGTTTACCATTTCCCTTGATTTGTCTAGAGGGCCCTATAAAGAATGTAAGGATTGGCCAAGTGCAAGTCATTTACCACACACACTACCAACATGACTTCTCATTGCTTTATGTGTAGTAGACTCATCAATGATCATTGTGTGTATACCATAATTACGAATAGGAATGTCATTTTTTATGTAACTAATATTAATGAAAGCATGCATCTCTCATTATTTATAAACTAGAGCAGTTACATTTGTTCCACTAGTTACTAGGAACGGACAACATCCATAGTGACAAATGTTTTTCTCTGTGATTTTAATTTCAAAGAAACACAATCTGCTACAGGATTTCAAATCAACTGACATGTATTTTAGCTATAGGCATAGGAGATTCTATGCATTTATTGAGCCAATAATGTACTTTGCACCAAAATCAAAATTGTCTTAATTTTTTTGGCTGAGTAATACCTGTCTGTACAAATTTACCAGTGTGCTCCTCCAGGGGTTATCAAATTGAAATAATCACTAATTAAGTCATAATTGTCACTAAAGGAGTTCATTGATGGCTGATCTCTACTTTAGAGAAATACTTAAGAAGTCTTGTGTTTAAATTGTTCTAATTGTAAAATGTTGTCTTGGTTAAAATATGTATTTATTATGTGCATTATCTCATTATCTCATCTTAAATACAGGTAAATAGCAAAGGCCATTATTTGTTTGCTGAGTTGTAATCATGACTAAATAACTTCAAATGGTTTTTAGTTTATTGTTGTAAAGAAAGAAAAAACACACCTCTTTTAAGCTAGTGTATTCCTCCTGAGGCATTATTATTTCATGTTGATATCTAGACTTTAAACGTAGTGATCCCAATTCCCCTTTTGTGCCTGCCATTGGCTGTAAAGAGTATGCATCATCTACAAACCCTCTACCAACAAGTTCTGATAAAAGCACAGTAACAGAAGCTGTGAAGAAAAAATAATTCACAAATAATTTATACCAATAAAGTCACAAATATTACAGAGACTTTTTTCATAAAAAATTATAAAAGTAACTTAAATAAATTGACAGTTTTGTATTTCTTTTATAAAAATATTTATTTATGTTTCCAAAAATATAAAGATGCATGTCATATGTCGCAAAGTTGAAAAAAACCATTCCTTTTTAACATATTTCCCATTCTTTAATTAAGTTGCCATGGCAGATGAAATAATAAATACAATATTACCTATTTCTGCATCCTTTAATCTTTTGATTTTGTTGAACAATAGAACTGTAAAAGATTCTACAGTTGGTGGAATGTCACTGAAAATAAGAAATGTTTAAAATATTGTTCATTTTTTATAATCCAGTGTGAGTGTTGCAACTCATGATACACAGATTAAAATGTGATAATATGTGAGAGACAGCACTTAAGCAATGTAGAGGAAATAAATGGTGAAACAAGAAATATAGGCTTGAAAAGAAAAAGATAGGACAATTAAAAGGATGTTTCAGCAAAATTCCTATTTCAGCAGACAAGACAAAACAAGAAACAACAAATAATGAGAAATTAAAATCTTGTGTTCCATGATCTCAATGTACTTCTTTGTTTAGAAAAGAAAGCACTCTAGCCTCATTTTTCAAAGTTTTTTTGCATTAAAAAAAACTTAGATATACTTCTGTACTTAATTATTGTGCTGATCTTATTTAATAAAAATAAATGGGGAACAATGTACACTCTGTGATTACCTCTAGCAAAATTAAAATTTTCTAATATAGCACAATGATATTTTGCTTATCTGTATCACATATTTCAGTGAAGGAAGTGTAACAGTTCCTTAACAAAATATCAGCAGAAAAAAGATAACCGAATAGGCGGTGACTAAACAGGAATGTAATCAGCAAGTTTATATATTTAAAGGACCAAGCAAGCTTAAGGGAATAAAAAAATTTGAAACTGCATTTTGAAGAATGTTTCTAGTTTTCTAAAACACATGCTAAATAATTAAAAATCTTAACTTCAACCCCCTTAAAAATTAACTGATAAACAATTGAGTAGCAAGACATTTCTAAATAAGAAATTTAAGCAGTAAGTGCTAAATTATCTGGTAATGGTAATTTAATGCAAAATTCGATTTCATTCAGTTATCAATTTTACTAGAATTACTAGAATCTTATAACATATAGGCAATACTTACTCTAGGAAAAAGTCAGCAGACCAAAATGGATTTGCACCTTCTCCAACATCTGTCCTTCCCACACGAACATTATTAAGTGAGAGTACACAGTATGGGTGATTTAAAATTTTAGGTGGGAATCTGTGAGCATCTAGAATGCTAACTTCTAGCTTGTGAAATTCCTTGAGCAATGCGTGATGAATCTGTGGTCTAATTGCTCTTGAATTGTCACAATATGGTTTCAAAAACTGTATCCATTTCTGAAACACAATATTTATTAAAATTGTTTAAGTATTGATTTTTATTTTTTAACACAATACAAAAAATTGGTTTATGGAAAATGAAAATTATAGCACTGGTTCAAAGTTTTTGATGATAAAAAACAAATAAGTAAAAAGTGTTACATTTACCTGTGCTAGATCCACACTGTCAGCACACACATAACATATCTGTTCATTATTGTTATCATAATTGCTAACAATTTGAAAACAATTTGGTCTGTAACATAACAAGGAGATAAAAAAATTATATTAAAATATGATAAAAATTATTCACTTTGTTTTTATCACATACCGATAAAAGTTATATTTTTTTCACAAAAACAATACTTTGGATTAGTTTAACAGAAAAGACTTACCTTCCAAAAAGACTGTCATGCACAGGATACAAGGCACTGTAACTTAAGTCTATAATTCCCTTTGGCTTGGATTTCTATGAAAATAAAATATCAAATCTTAAATTTCATTCATTGGTAATACATATTTACAATTTTTAAACATAATGTTGGAATACATGATAATGGAAAAAAAAATTGATAGCAGTCCTACCTTTTCATTTTCAAAATAATAGAGATATTTATCAGTTCCATTTAAGACAAAATAAAAAGATTTCCATAGTTTTTTCCTGTCACCTGAAAAATAAAATGTTAATGTAATTATTTGATTGAAACATTTTTAAAGCAGAAAATATATTGTTTAAGTTGTTTCAAATGCTTGTGATTCTCAAATAGTCGTATATGTACCACTATAAGTACAATATATTTTTCTGGTTACACAAATAGATGTAAATAAAAAATTTTTAAATATATATCTTAAATAACCAGTGCATTACCAAATATAAAAATGTATGTGTAATAATATTGAGTGCTGGGTCTAAACTGACACAATACAAATAGCTGGTGGTCTGGAATTCAACCCCCACCAAAGCCAAGACAAGAAAAAACATCCCAAGCACCCTAGGTGGATGGGACCCATTAGCCTTGGATGGCAACTCTGGATTCAAAACCAGGAACCAGAATGATCAATAAAATGATTGAGGGTCCTCAAATATAGGGAAAAAAAATTAATAAAATTTAAAGCATTTGAGAGCCTCTAACCTCTGGGATGCAGAGTTAGTGAGCCATAGGGCAAGCATTTTTTAGACTGACCTTGGAATAAAAGTCCTTGCCAAACTAAAGTAATTTTAAAAGATTGTCTAATCATCAAACATCAACCTATAATGTCAGTATATTGACATAATGTATATTTTAAAGAAAACTGCTACAGGGCATTCACGATACATACTTCTTTTGTTAAGAAACCCAGTCATATCTATCCGATCATTGCTGCGAGTGAGCAAACTGGGACCAGAACTTTGTCTAATTGAAGAATAAGTCTCATCTGTCCCATCAACAGCCTCAAATCTGTCATCGATACTACTGACAAGCTGAAGATAAAATAAGTTTAAATAACATTTCAAATGTCTCAAAATTATTCACAAAGAAATACCAATAAAACTTACCACAAAACTTAGTATCAGATTTTTAAATGACACTATAAAAGGCAAAGGTTAGGATTTTTTTTTTTTATCTACAAAGCCAACTTAAAATTTTCCTTTCAACCAAAAAATACTTAAAATTCATTGGTCATGTTCTTACACCTGTACATACTTATTTATTTCTGACATCTTTGTCTTTTCAATAGATACTTAAGCAAAACAACTTTAAAAAATTAACCGTACAAAAATGAAATGGTATATTATTATACATTTCTAAGTACATCCTTTTGTTTATTTTTTTTGTCCAAACAGATTTTTTTTTAATGGAATGCTTTAGGAACAGAATTTTTTTTAAAGCAATTAGCTGCTATTTTCATTAGTTTAGACCCAAGGTATCGATAATTCAAGTTTCTTAAAAACTGACTAATCTTAATCATAAATATCAAAATGTGCAACATGTTTTGCATCAACAGTTTTTTTCATGGTTGCTGGTGTAAATTTGTAGTGAACTAAATATATTTTTTATTCATTTTGCTGCATCATGCACATTTTGATCCTAATTTTTAAAGGATTACAAAGAATTTTCAAAACCATTTAAAATTAGTGGAAGATAGCAACACCAAAATTTTTCAAAAAGAGGTTAAAAAGATGATGCAGTTACAATTCATTGTGGAGTGTAATAAATGACTTCAATAGTTAACAACTTTGAAATCAATCAAAATAAATTACTACAGAATAGACCTTGTGCACAAGTCTGAAATGCACTTGGCTTTTAAAATCTGAAGTAAGAAAAGTTTAATTATTTCAATTGATTTAGAAGTTTTGAAAAATATTAGAAAAAAATTATTTACTCGATTTGTTCTGTAAACTGCTGATATAAGCTTAAAGCCTTCAACTATTTCTTCTGATGTGTATCGCTTGATTATGTCAAACAAACTGAAAAATAAAATTGAGTAAGAATAATTTATAGTTTATCTAATCATTTTATAGATATCTTTTTATCTCTAACAAACATGGTTGAATATTAAACAGATTATTTGTCGTTTAATTTTATATTAAAATTTAATAATTAAACATGAATACTACATATGAATACACATACATAAGGATTAAACCTTTCGACATTGTAAGGATATAGACGAAGTGTAACAAAGAATTCTTCAGTTTTCAAGATATGTAACTATAATTAGTTACCTGTCAAAATATCTTCCTCCTAAATGAAGGAATCGCCCTTTCTTGTCTATTCGAAATCGTCTTACTTCTTTTCCACAAAGGAAAAATAAAGAATAGTCTCCAGGAGAATTTTCACTTGGTCTTACCAAATAGCTGCCTTCTCCAGCTGAGAACAAAATAATTTAATGAATTTTCCAACTATAAAAAACAATTCTACCCAAATCAAGGCTTATATTACAGTAGAGAAAGTCCTGGATGCTCCAAGAATATATCAATATATTTTGAAATGGATTACATAGAAGATACTATAGATTTCACAAAAATATATGTGGTGTTTAAGAACAGGGAGTTACAGCTGAAGATCAGTCAAATTGATCCATTCATGATCTGGAACATGCAAACAAGTGGTACCAAAATATTTTTTCAGCTATACAGTTAAAACCCACCTTTCAAAAGTTTTTCTACAGCTTCATCTTTGGTGATGTTGCCATGAAAATAAGGAAGCGCCTCAACAGGATCACCAGTCTAGAGTATATATATAAGTAAGTCTAATCAGTTTATTAAAGTAGCATTTTCATTATATGCTAAAGAATAAAATATTAACAATAGTTATGTTATAATTAAAAATATATTTCTTTTAAATCCAAGTCATTCAGGCATTGTAGAAGAATTTAATATTGTTTACAAAATAAGAAAAAAAAATTTTTAAAGAATGTATTGCCAAATTTAATTTTGTTTTTTTTCTCTTTAATAAAAAGTAGTTGCAAATTCTCTAAGAAATCCATTGATAATTTTATGACAGCATTTCTCACATAAATATATTTTTTAAAAATAATCTTTCTATTTCTGTTGTTTTTTTTAAAGCTAGATTATTTATTATTCACTCCAAAAAGTTTGATAGATTTCATTTTGCTAAAACTAACCCAAACAAATCAGAACTTTTGAGGTTTCATAATAAAATGAGTAAAACAGAGTAGGGTTAAACCTGAAAAAATAAACGCAACAAAACAGCGAACGTGTCAGCAGAAAGCCTTTGTCAGCAAACAAAACGACAGAAGAAAACGGTATAAAAATAAAAATAAGAAATAGCACTTACCTGGTAGGTAGTATCTGTGGGCAGCTTAATTAATTGAAATTAGCTTAAATGAGTGTGTATGTCCCAATTTTAACAAATTAATTTTTGAAAAAAAATCTTTATAGAAGTCCTAAATCATTCATTGTTAAGTATTCCCACATACCAGTTCTTCCACAAATTGTGCTGGAACAAGTCCACTCTCCTTTGTTCTTTCTGCTGTAACCCACAACCACTCATCTTCCAATTCATTGTGCACAATAAATGTGTCTCCTTTATCAAAACTGAAATATAGATTGATACTATTTGTTTTTTTTGCTCTCATAATTGAATATTCAAAAATAGTATTCAGAAAAACAATGAATTTAAATAAATTAAATGTTTGAATAACAAACATCTTAATTATTTAAAATGTGATCAATTTTAAAGCTGCTCACTTAAGTTCATCTGTTTCTGGCATTTTTCTGTAGGAAAACATAGCTAAGACTCTCCGTCTGTCATCTACTGGCTGAAAAATAAATCCTTTTTTATTGACAATATAATGAGAAATATCAGTTCAAAACTTTCCCCTTATATATCCCTCAAAAGTTAACTTTATGGTTGTGATGAATGATGCATGTGACACTGATTAAAATTTTAATAAAAGGTAATGTTTTGTTATACACATTTTTTCAAAGAACAAATGTTCCTCTTTGTTTTTGGTATGCAATAATGAAAATTAGCTGAATATTTTTCTTTAGATTTATTAATGAGTGAACTTACAGAAATTATTTATGGCTAGGCCTACTGAAGAGAAGTTAGGTTAATTTAAATTTTGATTCTTTTCTCAATTTAGATAATTTAACACTGTCATCAAATAAAAGAAAAAATATATTTGAAATTTATCTATGAAAATTTAAAATATTGGTTTAATTTATTTTCCATTCCAATACTAGTAATTTTACCCAAGCAAACATAGGTCTGTTCATTAGGAAATGCTTTCAGATATATTACTCACACTCCTTCCCGTGATAGCTGACTATAAATTGTCAAAAAAACAAGGACAGCCTCCATGTACATGAACTTTTATTTACATTTCAATAATATAGCAAAAATGTTGTTTTAATATTTCTTTCTTACCTACTTTTTGTTTATTATGTGACCATATGACCTCAACTTTCTTAATTTTGATTTGCATTTTTTTTAAATTATTAAATTAATCTGCACACTAGATTATTTTTTAACGATTAAATTAGTTACAGATAATTTGAAATTAGCTTATTAATGTATTTCATAATCCACAAACAACATATCTGGTTTAAAAAAATTCATTCCAATTGAAAACCTGCATTTTCAAAGGGTTAGTAAAATTCAAATAGTCATCATTTATCTGATGTTGGGTTTATTTTTTTTAATGGAATATATAACTTTACCTCTGCTGGTGGAACAGGATACCTAAGTTGCTCATTTTTCATGAGGCATGAGCAAGATGTATAATATCCAATAAGGTCTGACAACGACTCAAACTGACGCCCTCCAATATAATAATCTCCACACATCGCAATAATTCTGGAAAAATAAAATGTTGAATCAAATAAACCAATAAAAATAACTTTAAATAAGTCAAATTCTAAAATAATGTCATAAAATATTAATTACAAATAATACATTTATCAAAAATTTATCAAAATTTTAACTTCTCTAGTTCTTAATAATCCCTATTTCAATTTTAGTCTGTCGAAAATAGCCAATATTTGAAGATTTTTATTTTCAAATTTAAACTCGTACCTAAAATGTGTTGGAGGACCCGATTGCCCAAGATAAGACAACACAAAAGAGCCAGGTTTGCTGTCACTCTCGCGAATGAGGTAACTTCCAACTTTCCCACTATTGAGCAAGCAATCCTCTGCTGACTGTCTGTCAAGTCTGCCATGGTACCAGCTTGAGAAAATGAATATAAGTGAAAATATGTCCATGTTACTTATAATAAATTAAAGGTCAATTTTTAAGCAAAAAGATTTTAATTGACTAATGGTACTTAAGTATTTTGTCCATTTATATTTGTATTCTTGGAATGTGGTAAATATGAATGTAATGGGCTGTACTGCCACCATCTATCCCCCTTTAAAATTGCAGTGACATTATCTACAGAAAGGTGATAAAAAAGGGTTTTAGGGAGCAAAAGGATTACCAAGGGGGCCAGAATTTCTTACCAAGGTGCAAACAGGTGGTACTTTTATTTCTATTGTCTCTTTGTTTTCATGGAAAATTATTTTAAAACCAATTTGATTGATTCAGAATTTAGCAAACAGTTGCATGAAAATTAAATAATTTTTTAATGAAATCAACCCAATCTACTTTAGAACTATTAACACTGTTCAAACAAAATATTGACAGCCCAGTTGGATAGCTAAATTGATATTAAGCTTAAGAAATCATAAAAAGAGTTTTAGATAAAGATTAAAACTTTGAATTTGATATGAAAAGATAGTAGAAATTTTCAGGCATAATTTAAAATACTGTATTTATTGGCGTATAACACACACACCTCAATTTAAGATGGAAATTTCAGGAAAAAAACTAAACATTATATTGGCGTATAACACGCACACATGATTTGCCCCCTATTTTTAGGGAGAAAAAGTGTGTGTTATACGCCAATAAATACAGTATTTATGACAACTAATCAGTATTAAATACCATTAAATTGTAATACTTGGACGTGACTTAGACTCAGGTGAGAAAATTTATTTATTTATTTTGATTTATTTCAAACAGTCAGGTCTACTTGTAATTAATAGACTGGCATATCAGACAAGGGTTACACTCACAAAATAGTACAATATCGTTTCAGAATAGTATTAATCAATCTCAAATTCATACAATACCCTATTGTAATATTAAATAAATAAATATACAGTATAATGTTTAAAATAACCATTCGCCGTTACTTCCAAAAGTAGATGACTTCTATATATTTATAATTAAAAAAGAAATTTTTAAAAGGTGCCCATTAATTGCCACCTTGATAGACGAAGATGGGATGGGGGGGGGGGAGGAAATCCAGGTTTCCGGCCAAAGCCACCCAAGCAAAAGTGGATGTGTGGTTTGAGGAGGGGGCTTTAAATTCAAAATGCAAGGATGCATTTCTGCATCCATAGATTTCTCCATTTTAGTACTTGCCGCAATTCAGGCGAAATATTAAATAATTATGTCACAAAATTAATCATACTGCACACAAGCAAACAAAAGCTAATGTGACTAAATTTTTCAACAGAGTGGCTATGCTATTACTGGTGCCGTATTCTGGGAGTTCATTGCAGACCTGTTTACCCACTAACTCCTAAAATCAAATAATATCGTCTCAAAATCATACAATTACAATACAGTATCTTAATAGTAAATAAATAGACATAAAATATATATATAATGTAAGCAATAACTACTCGCATCACATGTCTAGTGGGGTCGAGTTAAGCTGACTTCAAAAAGGTAACTTCTTAAAGTAGATGACCGACATTTATATTGCAAACTAGGTTCACTTTCTTTTGCAGACATGTTTTTGCTATAGATATTAATTTATATTGAGTGAACATGCAGATCACATTATCACAGTCTGTCACTGGAAAAAAAAAAGCTACTGGTGAAACTGGAACTGAAATAAATATTAATTAACAAATGATGACATCATTTAAAAAACCTACCATGTAACTTGAGATTTATAACTAAGGAAAAACTGGTTAAAAAAAAAAACCAATAAGAATCAACATCCATTAAGCCTATTTCCCACTAACATATTATAGTCTCATAATTATGACAAATTGTAATGGGTGACAGAAAGAGGAGTGATGGAATCAAAAGGGGGTATTAAAAATTGTGCAGCTGTCTTGTGAGGTCTAAAAATAGATTTCAACTACTGTCTCAGATCCTATAAAAAATGACTCACCGCGATTCTTACAAAAAAATAGTTATGTCACAAAATTACACCATACAGCACTAAGACGACTACGCTAATATTATTATTGTCATGTCTAGCAAGTTAATTATAAAAGCACTCAAAGCAACAATATGACCAACACCACTACCATTACAAAAATGTGGCAGTGTTCATTTTATAGAAGTTGATACCCGCTGGTCCTCGCACTCTCTCCATCGCTAACCCACGCGATATGACACAATTAGGCTGGGCCTTAAACTAATAAGTAATGACTCAAATAACAATGGAAGTTAGCCTGATAACCTTGACCGTGACACAAGTTAAACAATGCACTCATTCTGGTAAAGCATCCCAAGCGACGCAAATGAGTCATGAGAATTCAGGACACCAAGCCACGCTTGAGTACCAATGCGGACACATGTTAGAAATGCAGGACAGCGTCCCTGTAATCAATATAAAAGGCACCCCCTAATCATGTAACGGCCTCTTTCACCTGAAGTCTGTCAGTAGCACCTGGCTGGCATAATTAGTTGATGAAGTGTGTTTATCCTGATTGTGTTAGCCAGAAAATAAGTTCAGTAAGTAATATTTGGCCAGTAAGTTATATTTTGATCAGTAAATAATAGTTGAACTAGTAAGTCATAGCTTGGTAAGAACAGTAAAGTAATAACAGTTGAGCTAGTACAGTTCAGTTAGTGGAGTCAGTCGTTAGGGTCAGAATAACGATCTCCGATTAAAAGAACTAAGTGTAGGTTAGGCCTAACTACTACTACTACTACAAGAATAGCAGAGACTCGAGCAGAGACCTGTTACATCGCAGTGACCAGTGACCTGTGAGTGAAGCTAAATCAAACAAGACTGTAGCGTGAACTGTGTGTGTGTACCCCCAGTGAAGTTCAAGGTCGACACCTACCACATCGCAGTGCCAGTGACCTGAGACAAGTTACACAACCAAGCCGCTGTGACCCGAGGAGAGGGCTGCTGGGGGTGTGTGCGTGTTGGACTTGCCTACAGAGGACAGATCACCAATCGCAACTAAATCCATGGAAAAATTGTATTAGACCTAAGTATTAGATAGTTAATTAGACATTGCTCTATATGTGTAAGTGTGTCATTAATTCTATTTATAATTAAATATTTATTTGTGGGCTGAACACCCTGTGTTTCTTAGTATAGTGATAGTATTAATAGAAGTGAGAGTTAGTGAGAGTGTCATTGAACGTTAGAGTGAGTGTGGAGTGAGATTAATTTAGAGTACTTAATTTGCAATATAATCATACCCTAGACATAGCCCTAGTGGCATTACTAATCTAACATAGAAGAAGGGACCTTTGTTTATAAAATTATAAACATCGAATATTATTCGTAGTCGAAGTTTTAACATTTGGGGGCTCTATTATTCGTGTACAGCAAAACCCCGAATATATTTTAACAATAGACTTGAATATTTAGACCTCCCAGCATACCAGTACACAAAATCTCCTATATCAGGGGTCACCAAACTTTTTTCACTGCAGGCCTGATAACGGGAAAAAAAAGATGAGCGCGGGCCAGATAATCATACTGTAAAATACTTGCAAGCCAGAACTAAATCTCTAGGAAAAAAATACAAAACTAAGTTTAGTATTCCATGTTAATCATGGGTGAGTGACGACTATGATTTTTAATGTCTCAGCATGTTTCCAACATTCCTCTTTCTTTCACCCATTTACAGTTTGTAGTAGTTATCAGACTATAATATTTTAATGGGAATAGGCTTGATGGAAATTAATTCTTATTTTATTTAACTAATTTTTCCAAAAAACAACAAGCTGAAGTTACTTGGTAGGTTTTTTTGAAATGATTTCATCATTTTTTAATTGATTTTTATTTAAATACATCTAGATATAAGCTGATCCGAGTTCGAGTTTGAACCACGTTAAATTTCAACAGTAACTTTATTTTTACCAGTGATAGGACTGAGATAATGTGATCTGTGGGTCCACTCAGTATAAATTTATACCTATAGCCAATACAAGTCTGCAAAACAAAGTGACCTCAGATTGTGTTATAAACGTCGGTCATCTACTTTTAGTAAACTATTTTTTACGCCAGCTTAACTAGATCCCAGTAGACACCGCGATACGAGTAGTTATTGTATACATTATATATATTGCATGTTTATTATTGACTATTAAGATACCGTATTGTACAATTTTGAGACGATATTGTACGATTTTAGGAGTTCGAAGGTAAACAGGTCTGTAATAAATAAGAAAATCTAGACACAAACATTTTTAATTGAAAATGGGTATTTAAGGCGCATAGCAACCAGGAGGTCTACGCACGTGTGAAGATCTCCTGGTATTCTAAACATAATATTGAAATTTAAATTTTATCACAATGTCTTATGTTCCATACATTTTATCAAGCAAGTTTAAGTACCATCGGCGGGCCAGATTAACTGGCCTCGTGGACCCTAGTTTGGTGACCTCTGTCCTAAATAATAATAATAATAATAATAAAGTTCATTTCAAAAACACGCTTCATCCCCAAAGGCTCGAAGCGCGGTACAAAGTCAACAAAAAAACAAATCTATAATTTACCACATTTAAAACAAACGCAACACTACAAAAACTAATTACAAGCATACAATGTCAAAGTCTTTCTAGCCATTTCAACCATAAGCAACACAGCCATTATGCATTAACTGGAAAATAAGGTAGACAATCATCCCAGAAGGTGTTTGCGAAATAGATGTGTCTTTAAATCGGTTTTAAAGGACTCCAGTGTCTGGTTGTTTCTGAGATCGACAGGAAGGGCGTTCCAAATTGTTGGACCAGCAAATGCGAAAGTGCGCTTTCCGTAAGTCTCAAGGCAAACACGTGGTGTCGAGAGTTTGCCACTATCGGATGAGCGGAGCTCTCTAGTGGGTACATAAGGCGTCAGCAGCTCTTTCAGATAGGACGGCGCCAGGTCATGTAAGCAGCGGTAGCACAAAGTTGCGATTTTGTACTCCATGCGAGCACGCACTGGCAGCCAGTGCAGCTCTCTCAGAAGTGTTTTTGCATGGTCAAACTTGCGTTTGCGGAGAACAATGCGAGCCGCATTATTCTGTGCTATTTGAATTTTATCCAGGAGCGTAGCTGGAAGACCCACCATGAGAGCATTGCAATAGTCCATGCGTGATAGCACAAATGCAGACATCAGCCTCTTTGTTGCATCAATTGTTAGGAAGGGCCTGATGTGACTAATCCTGCGCAGCTCCAGAAAAATCGCCTTGCATAGCATGTTAATATGACTTTCAAATCAACCCCCACCTTCCCCTCTCAGGACAAATATAATATAAATACAGTTGGTCCCCAACCAATAGTATTTCTCGATCCATTCACTGCTGTAGGTAGAAAGTAGGTTGAAACTAACAATAAAAAATTTACTTTTTTAATGATTATTTTTTTTATCGCAAAAAGTACCGGAATGTATATATTTTCAACCCATAGCTTCTTAAAATCATAGTTGTGGCATACAATCATAAAAAACACCTCAATATCATACATTGTACACCAATATCGTTAAGAGTAAACCTGAATATAGTTTTGCATCATTCTACAATTAATCAAAATGGTTGCCAAAAATTAGGTACCTCTTACTGAGCTGTTTATTTAAATCCCTTTTAGTTCCTAAATAGTCAAATTGTTTTATAATTTATTACTCATTTCAATTTATTTTTTTTAATCTGTCTAAAAAGGGGGGGAATATACTGAAATGGTGCATACCGTCCACAAAAATGATGTTTAGACCTATATATTTCAAATGTGCCTTTATGCCAAAACTGAAAATAATCGCTAATTGAATGAAGGAGTAAGTTCATTTGTGATACATCTGGTGAACACAATATTTAACCCCGAATTTCACATTCACACTCTAGCATAAAGCCTATAAACCTAATATTATTTTCCCATTAACATATTATATTTATAGTTTAATAAATACTGAAAGCTGATTTGGGATAGGAGGAGGGCTGGTGTATTAAAATTGTAGAGCTGCTTAGTGATTTCTTAAAATAGATTTCAAATGCCGCTTACTAGATCTTATAAAATATGTCAAAATCTAACACTGTGCGAAGCAGTTGAGAATGCATTCTAAATTTTTTTTATCTTTTTGCTATTGCCGGTGTTCAGCCGAAAAAAAAAAAATTATGTCACAAAATTACATCATATAGCACCGAGGCAAACAAAAGCGAATGTTTACTAAATTTGTCACCAGGGTGAATATGCTAAATATTGTTGTTGCTGTATCTAGCGAGTTAATTGTGAAAACATAAAGCAAAGATATGACAATTTTTACGAAACATGGTATTATTTTATAGCCTTTAAAAATATTTAGACACCGGCCCTACCCCTCCCATGCACAACCATACGTAAGCACCCCTTTTACAGCCAATTTAACAACAAAAAATATTGTTTTATTTATTACAATAATTTTTTAAAAATCGTAAACACCACTGGAATACATTTTTTTAACATGGTCTCGTAAAATCATAATTCTGATAGGTCTTGGCTGACAATCATAAAAAACATATCAAAATCGTATATTGTACACCAAAATCATATGAGTAAGCACTGTTTAAAACAGGTCTGATATTTAAGTAATGGTTTACTCTGCTGGAGTCATGAAAGGCTATTGGCACTTATGAAAAATGAGGTTGACCCAAATCCAAATGACCCTGAGGTCCACACCTGGACAGTGGAGAATATGTGGATAAAAAATAAAGCTGTGGTGCCAGTTCTGAACCTCAAGGAAACAGTTTCTGTCATACATCCATGAATTTATCTTTCGAAAGTTCAAGAAGATGATCTGCAGTTCCTTGGGCCTATAGGGTTGCTGACAATTATCTATGTTGACTTTCGTACTGTTTTATTTATGTTTAAATAAAGTGCTTAATTGTCATTCACTAATTACATGTTGTGAATTTGGGCACCTAACTGGATGTTTACCCTACTTTTATCTAGTCCTGACATAATACATACTAACAACATGATTCTTATACCGGTACTTCACAATGACAATACTATTATTAGTTATTAGTATAGAATAGAGTAGTATAGTATAGTCATTTCATAGACATGCATAGTGAATAGTGGGCCAACTTACTACATAAATAATTAACCAAGTGTCTACACGTCCGGCGCGTCTGACAAATAGTTCAGGAAATATAAGTCTGGCGGCATGTCACGTGACCGACGGACGACTAGTGGAAGATATTCATGTCATGTGACCGCCGGACAACTAGTAGGCGTTACTATTCCGGCAGGTCATGTGATAAGTGGTCGCCGGCAAAATAGTTGCATTGCATTTGATATTCCAATGTTGTGTACATATATTAGTTAGCCGATCCCTAGATAATAAATAAATGCTGAATATGTTAATATATTAAAATGCTATGAGATACATGAAGTGTTTGACTTTGAATATTAAACTAGTCGGCCTATATACTTACTAGTAGTACTATTACTACTACTATTACTAGTCTATTTGATTCCGACTCTTCAAAGAAAAAAGTCCCTTATCTTAGTTAATACATCTTGTTAAGCTCTACCTTGAAGCCTAAATTGAAAATATGAACCAAATAAAATAAGACCAGTAGACTTCAATAGACCTATGTCAATAAAGTTGTATTTCGGTATGTACCAGTATTTAGTATTGCATGAGAAGTAGGCTAGGCTACCACTATATCGGCCCTATATTAAGATGTAGGGTCTATTTCTTTGTGTACTGTAGGGTCTATTTCTTTGTGTACTATCGGCCTCCCCGCCTTAAAATTAATTATTTATCACCCTCACTATTATTTTTTTAGCATTCTTATTTTTATTACCGTAATTCTCTCTCCCTCACTCTCAGCATTGATGGCTTCCTTCTAGAGTGCATCATTGCTTAACCCACACTTTGTTTTGGTAATTAACAGTATTTTTTCTATTATTTGTTTGCAAGATACTCAGTAAATTACTTGGTAGAAAATAGATATTAAAATTAACAATAGTTTTGAATCATTCTCGGTCACGTGACAAGGCTGACGATCAAATATCTCGCGCCACATTGTTACGGCGGTCATGTGACTTGGTCGCCCGATGAATATCTCGATAAAGTATTCTTCCGGCCGTCACATGACAAATAGTGCGGGAGATATACGCCCGGCGCTCCGGACGTGTAGACACTGCCAATAATTTATTATCCATGGTCCATAGCAACTCTGTATAGCCTATATTTTTAAAATTGTAATATTAATGTTATCAGTATCATCATCATTGACTGCATGAATGATTCAAATTAAAATAGTATGATTATGAGTACTATTATCATTGTTTTGACCATCATGGCATGGCCTACTTAACTTAACTTGTACTTCTATTCAATTCTTAACTACATTATAATGTATTTGTAGACCTATTATTTAGTATCATTAAATAGATCATTATTAGCCTAGTTCTACTACTTAACTTTTAAGCATTATGCCTAGGCTTTGGGCCTATTTAATTAGGACTGCTCATTATCATTGTAATTGAATTCGCTTTTCAAACGTGAGTCTGCTCGAAAGGTTTTCGACTTCACAAAATTAATAAATAATGAATGGATTAATGGTGATGAATTTATAATATTTTTAAATGGCATTTTTTGATATGTCAAAATAAAGCTGGTTACAGTTTTTCTTCTGGAGCTTTCAATTCGCTCTCTATATGTTCTTCTGTGCACTCTAATTCGCCAGATCTAGGGTTGAAGTCATCATTGCCGTCTGCATTTGGCCCATCAGCAGCCATTTTTTCACGCTCTGCGAGACTGCGGTGCATAAAACATTGTTTTGATTGGCTAAAATACTCCATTGAGACAGTGTGTGGATCGCCCACGCAATACAAAAAGACATTCATTCACTGCCTCAACAGCTCATTTTAATATTTCATGAATTAACATAAACAAGGAACCTTTATCATTTAACTCAATTAATTAGAGCACTTGAATGGAAGTTTCATAAGTTCATTGAGAAGTATAATAAAATTTAAATCTTCAAAGAAGCTCAAACAACTTAGTAATTTAAGCAATTCAGTCCTAATTGTAAAGTCTAAGTATTAATTATTATTAAGATTAATACTTTTTTTAAATTATTTACTTTTAAAAGCAAAATAGATCATTAATTATTATATTAAACATATATTCATATATGTATATCTATCTACGTTTTATAATCATATTTGAAAATAAATGCATGGCCAATGACCCAAATGTCTCATTTTATTTCAATTCACTTTTGAATAATTAAATTAGTAGAAAATTTTGATGGTAAACATGCGTAAATGGGGAGACTATCATCGTAGTTTTATGTCATATATTTACTGAAATACAATCGGCGATGGAAAGCGGAAAAAATATAGTTATTAGGCCTATACGCGGTTTTAAAAAAATGCGAATATTAAAAGCCTTCCTCGGGACAGCACTAACAAGCCGCATTCTGGAAGCTTTGAGTTGCCCGAATTTTTCGAGTACTAATGGATATTTCTTGGATAAATAAGAGTAACACAAATATAAAAATTAGAAATAAACACTTAGTTGAAATGGTGTATCCCAGAGGACAGTCAAGGGAATGTAATAAAAATATACTGTTCGTTCAAGAAGGCTTCTTGTCGATACGTTCTTCGTTTTGTTACGACCTAAGAAGAAAAAAAGTCCTTTAATTTACCAGCATGCAGCTGCTAGATATTTTTTTTTTAATTTACATTTTAATTGGCATCACCAGTAGTATACTATTCGAAAAAATGTGTGTGTGTTTTGTTTTTTGTTTTTTGTTTTTTTTTTTATAGTTTTTATGGTTTAAAAAAAAGGATTAGATGAGTCATATTGGATATATTCTATATTAAATATGTTTTAATATAAATAATCTTATTTTTTTAACTTCTTTCTCTAGTTGACTGGAATTTTCAGCTAAATCAAAACAGAAATTATTGTATTGTATTTTGGAGAAAACATTCAGACATAGACTTGACTGAAAAAAATTAAAAGAATGTTCATTGGTGATTTCTTGCATTTGGGATTTCTTTAAAAATTAGTAAAAATAACAATTACATTATACTAATTATAATTCATAATGTCAACGTTGTGTGTGTTTGCGCGTGTGACAATGGTCTTATTCCCTACCCTTTGCTCTCCCTTTTTTACGCGCTCCACCCTCGCATTTTTCTAAATCGGCATTGACAATATATAAGTAACTCCCTTTCTTCTTCTTTATTTTGAGGGCCCACGATCAATGTATTCATCATTCTGGCTCCTATGTTTCAGAGGGGTTCGCGATGCAACTGTATACATCACTGGTTGCAAGGGCTAATCAGCGATGGTATTATGAACTGGGGGATGGAAGACAGGAGGCCATAGACGCAAATGTGTCAAGTATAGTCGCCTCAACAATTGCTTTTGGAAGCTTGTTCCCTTATCGTCTTTGGCAGGAATGAGGAGCTCCTGTAATGAGTTTTTGTTTTTATGAGCCGGAACTGCCTGCCATGGCCTCGTCGCTGTCTAGTGGGAGAGGGACGAGTTTCTCTTTTATTTTGGAGCAATGGACCAGACCATTTTTTTTATCTTGTACATCACGGAGAGCCGTTCCTCCAGTGGTGACCACCCCAGTGTTTCCAGCATGCTGCCAACACTTGAGGTGTTTCTGTAGCGGTTCAGGATAAAGCGTGCTGCCCTTCGTTGAACCGCGTCCAACCTGTCGATGCTTCTTCTTCTTCTTATATTTGAGGAGCCCACGATCAATTAGTTGATCATTCTGGCTCCTAGTTTAAATTCAGAGTTTGCCTTCTCTTAGATGGGTTGCCGTCCAAGGCTAGCGAGTCCCATCTACCCGGGGTGCTTGGGATGATTTGCTCTTCTGGGTGAATGGTTTACAGACTGAAGATGCGTACTCTAAAAGCTTTATAGGCTTTTTATTTCACGCTGGAGTTGATGATCTTCAGATTTCGCCTTAGGAACCCTAGGGTCTTGTTTGCCAGGTTGCACACATTGTTAATGTGCTTGTCCCAGTGGACCTCTCTCTGAATGGTAACATCGAGGTACCTTACGGAGGAAACTGGCTGAAGAATATGGTCATGCAATTCATAAGGGTGGTGTAGAGGGGATTTATAACAGGGTCTGGTACTTGATGGGATGAAATTCCATGTCCCAGCTCATCTCCCACTCGGCTAACCGATGGCGGTCCTGTTGTAGCTGGTCCTGGTCAGAACTGTTGGCGATCGTCCTACACACAACCGTGTCGTCTGCGAACAGTCTTGCTTGGGAGGTCAGCTTCTTGGGCAGGTCATTGATATATGCAAGGAACAAATAGGGGCTTCTCATTGAGCCCTGGGGGACCCCTGGCTTAAAACCGACAAAGGAGGAGCTTGTACTGTCCACCACTACTGCCTGGCATCGGTCGCCGAGGAAGCTAGAGATCCATGTTCTGAAGTTTGTGTAATAGCAAACTATGATTGACATGGTCAAATGCCTTTGAGAAGTCCATCACCAGCACATCCGTTTGTTTGCTGTTCTCCAGATAGGTCATCAAGTCTTCTGAAAATTCAAGGAGCTGTGTCTTACATGATCGATTGACTCGGAAGCCATGCTGACAGTCATTGAGTAAACTGTGGCTTTTAAGATGCTTCATGACTGCGCTTACGATAATGTGCTCCAACAGTTTGCATACCATGCTGGTGAGGGATACCGGACGGTAGCTGGCAGGTTCGTAATGCTCCCCTTTTTGTAGATTGTATTGACATGCGCTGTTCTCCAGTCGATTGGAACATTGCCTGTGCATAGCGACGATTGGAAGAGGATTGTCAGTAAGGGAGCGATTTCATTGGCCAATTCTTTGAGCACTCGTGGTTTGATATTGGCAGGACCACATGCCTTGTAGAGGTAAATGGTTTTAATGAGTCCCAGCACACCCTGCTCTGAAATCTGGATATCTTCCATGACGGCGTAGAGTCTGCTCATCATTTTGGTCTTCAGGAGGAACTTAATCTCTGTGTACTCTCTGCCATCACAAATGAAATAGGTAGCCATTAATTTGTTTTAATGTACCCAAGTGACGAGAGTGGGCGTGTGATTTTTGGTTCTTAACATAATTTTATCCTGCTTGCAGCGCCAAAAACTGTAGCCGAGTGGTGTGTGGCAGCTGCCAGTTTTAAATGTATATTTGGTTTATAAAATAAAGAAATCTAGATCTTGAGTACTATAGCCGTTTGTTTGTTCTTACAGTGTTATATAAAAAGGAGTGGTAGAAGAAAATCCTAAGTAAAAGTTCGAATAACATGGATCCTAAAAAATTCGCAAGAAAAGGGACACTATAAGTATAAAGCGTCCAAATGGTGCCGGTGAAGACTTGAGCACTTTAGGAATAATTTGATTCCAAAAGCCGATTTGCGCACTCACTATAAATAAGGTTGCTCAAACATACCAGAGAGCAAATACGTAACACATTGACCAGGTCTATTACTTGACTTCTAGCAGATTTAATGAGGTAAATTGACAATCCCTTGCTGTCAAAATCCCGGACAGAAACCCTGAGTTGAGTCGCGGCTCCTAAGATACACTTTTATATTTATATAAGCTAAAAGGTCTTTGATATGTTTTAAATAAAAGGTTTTGGGGGCCCAACATGGATGAATATGAAAACTCCCTGCTTAATAACTTAATATTACAATATCGTCTAGAGATATAGACTTACAAATAGACTAAGTTATAGAGAATAAAATTTCCTTTCCGGCAAGTTAATTTTTTGGCTTATACCCTAGGGCAGTAGTCGGAAAATCGTGGCTTACGAGCCGCATGCGGCTCTTTACCGACCTGAATGGGGCTCGACCAGTCGGCCAGAAATCGATTTTGACTCCGAAAACATGGTTCTTGACAGATTCTGGAAAAGAAATTTGGCTCTCAAAAAAAAATGTAATCGTTCTGTGCTGATGTTTGGCTTTTTTTGACTAAAGAGTTTCATGAACACTGCCATAGGGTTCCCAAGAAATAAATCATTCAACTTATAGAAAAAATACAAACCGTAGTTTCCTTTCTAAGCGGCGGGGAGAGAAGCTGTTCACAAATTGTTGTGGTAGCCTAAACTAAACCCTAGGTTAAATTCCACGATAGCGTCGTGTGGTGAACGCCCTGTTTCATAAAAGTGTGACATACAATGACACATAAATAATAAAAGAGAAACATGTTTAAAAATCTTAAGCAATGAAAAAATATTCAATCGGCGTGCTATCTACACATAAGTTCGATTTTCCTCACCGTGATGGAGTGCTCTAACCAATAAGTATAATTTCTTTCGTATCTTCTTTTCGTTTGTACTTCTAATTCAAAGAATTGTTGTCAGGAAAAAACGTAAGCTATCCACTAAATGAACTATATTAATATTATAATGCCCTACCCCTTTTACACTGCTGATTTATTACAATAATTACATCATATTTAACTGACACTATTTCCGTAAACAAAATAAAAAATATAAAAAAATGCGCACCAAACGCAATAGCGTTATTTTTAAGAATATTAATTAGCATAATTATTCTGAATTTGTAAATTGCACGCTATTGAGCCATACTTTTTTTTCATACATAAATAATTATATTGATTGATAAAACGGCTACTGTTATCAAACATTTACATAACTTTTCAGTTATTTTGAGACGTACAATTACTTCATTTAAATAGCTGTTATTCTGTTATCCATAAGAAGGGGTGGCATTTTCGACAAAAACTGAAGAGTTGTTATTTTCTGAAGGGGTGGCGAAAATTCCCCCAACCCCCCCC